AAAAAGAAAGATATTCCCAACATCTTTAATAATAATAAAAAATTTTATCTTTCTCCGTTTATATATTTCTTGGTCAACGCGACCACACAGCCTGTTGCCTATGGTTATGCCAGGCTAGTAATTAATCTTTCTTTATCAGCTTATCTCCAAAATGATGTTGGCCATCAAAATTTTGACTAATGCTACAGAAATTAAATGAACCTGTATTCAATCTCAGAAACTAATTTTTCTTCTGGGTGGCCAACACAAACCAAATGTTTTTCCTGGCTCTTTGTCCAGAACAATTTAAATGTTATTTCAGTGACCACCTGTTTACCAATAACATTCTTCTATTTTCTAGGACTGACATCTTTGATGATACATTATCTCATCTTTATCGGGGGGAATTGGAGAAGGACTGGTTGTCTTGGTTTTGCTCAATCTTACTAAATTCCATTTAGTTAAATTTGGGTTCACTTATCCTTGGAACTGTTCTTGATTTCATTTTATTATCTTAAAACACAATTTTTAACACATTTTGTTTTTAATTTTCTTAATTTTTCAATCCATTTTTTTGAGAATTTCAACAAATATCATCCAGTTACTAGTCTCTTTCTTTCTTCCGAATAACTCTGAGGTCTCAGTGTCAGATTAATAACATTCACATTTATACCTTCAAGATAAATAAACCCTTTTAACTGGGTTCAACCTCAGTGAAACGTTTTTATTGTACCTTCTTCCTTGCTATTTACATTGTTTTCTATATGCTGGCATTTTTCTCATCATACTTGATGTTCATTCATTGATATTGGGTGTAAACTTGATCTTTTTTTCTACAATTACCATTGGGCTTTATTCTAGAAAAAAAATAAGTTATCTGTCCAGAAATTTATTACTTCTTTTTCTGGACGCACAAACCATCAAACTTGTGAATCCATAATATTGAGTAAAATTTAAAAATAAAATTGCTTTTGTTTTATATATCACTGAATTGACTTCTTATGGCTTTCTCCACAATCACTTTTAACCAAATTTAGTTAATGACTTTTTTTTTTCAGGGTTGACCACTTATGCTGAGTACCTCGGGGAAGAATTGAATCTATACAAAGATCCTTACAAATTGTAAGTTTTCATTTTTTTTTAATCAGTTTGTCTTATGTTTATCCGATGTTCCATTGAGAAATAAGCACTTAAACCCTTTTGTAACCAATACAGTGACATGACCTTTGGGCAAAGATTATTTAAATTTTCTCATCAAAGACCCAAGTCACATTAAATCACAAGAACTATTAAGAATATTGACATTTTATAGCTTCAAGATAAAGATATTCTTTTGACTGGGTTCCACCTCAGTGAAACCCTTTTTATTTTGCCTTCTTCCTTGCCATTTACATTGTTTTGTATATGCTGGCATTTTTCTTGTGATATCTCATGTTACTTGATTATTTATTCATTGTAAATTTGTTCTTTTTCCCACAACTAGAATTGAGCCTCATTTTAGAAAAAACAAATTACTTGTCCAGAAATTTATTACCCACTTTATGGAGAACTGACACCAATCTCTCTCAAGATCAAACAAAAGCAATGCAGTTTGCCAGCCACTGCCACTGAATGGACTATCTTTTTGTTCTGTTTTCGCTATATTGGCTGTGTAAATATATGTGACTAGCAGTAAAGCCCGGTGTTCCCCGGGGATGTAACAGTAAGAGATAAATCAAGTATCGACCCTCATAAAGACTGAAAAATAAAATTGACAAAGATTATTGTTTAAGGTTGACGGACACGCATGTCTTGTTTTTTTTTATGAATTGGTGAAACCCAAACAAAAAGATTGTTTTCAATCGTTATGAGTCTATCGATTGAATAGAATTTTATTATAAACAATTGTCTTGTAAATGGAATTTTTAAAGCATTCTGAATGTAAAAATAAAGAAAAAAGTGTGCAAGACAATAAGAAACACTACCTGCCAAAAAAAAAGAAAAGAAGTGAAGTTTTGTTGGAATCGGTTGAAAAATGTAGGAAATCCGATCCCATATATAAATGAACACACACACAAACAACCTGGGTTTTATAATAAGTATAACTCGATATGAGTTGTCCCGCTTTCATTCTCATGATGCCTCTTAATCATGTTTTCAAATTGATTTGATGCAGAAACAATTGTTTTTCCAATTTTTGGCACTGTCAGAACCACCGCAAGATAATTTTGCGTAGTCCTGTGAAGTTTTGTTGAAATCGGTTGAAAAATGTAGGAAATTCGATCCGATATATAAACGTACAGACACACACACACACACAATCTGTGTTTTATAAGTAAGATATATTTTTTTCTACATGGGACATAGGAAAAGACAAAATTATTTGTATTTTATTTTGTCTTTTCCTATTTTGCATAATTCACCTGTCAAATTTGTTGCATTTAATTTATTGTTCTGAAAATTAAGTTTTATATTCCCTTTTTTGTTAGCATAGAAAAAAAAACTGGCATCATACAAGCATTAGATTCTGAGAAATGGATACAAATATTCAATATTGATGGGTGTATGAATAATTCCATTGTCTCTCTCTCTCTCTATATATATATATATATATATATATATATATATATATATATATATATATATATATATATATATATATAAGCGTTATATAGCCTAACATGCCACAGAAGGGCGTTTTAGCAAGGTCGATTTTACTGTTTTTAAACCACAATTCTCCATGATTTTCTCTCTTACATTCATATCTTTGTCCATTTCATAATGTGTGACGTCATTTGTTTACATTTGGATACGCATCAAGCAGATATGAATGTATGAGAGAAAAATCATGGAGAATTGTGGTTTAAAAACAGTAATATGTTTGTGTCATCCACAGACTGTTTTGCTGTTTCACAGTTCATCAGTGTGGCTAGACATCTGATTGCTTCAAGCTGGGATCAAAACCCAACTGATTTGGCAACAGTTGAAGATTTTCTTCCCAAGCCATCAGTGCACAGTTGAAAGAAAGGTGAATTTTTACGTACTTAGTCTGTGTGTGTATTTTAGGTATGTCTTGGTGATATAAAAGTCTCTTTGAGAACAAAGTATGTTTGTCATTCCTTTCAGCCATCCTGTCCCATCCATGAAGTACAGTGTTATTATATTACGAATATAATAATACCCATGATTGGGGTGGGGTGTGTGAAATACAAATGGGGGAATAACCCTTTCTTCCATAGCTCTCTCCCGTTATATTGGTGACCAAGCCACGATATTATTTACTCGAAATATGATATTATTATCAACTATGAAATTTATTTTCCTCAAATTTTTTTAAGAGAAATATCTTATAAATTTCAACCAATGGTAGCACTGGTTGCTCGGTCAATGAATGCCAAATGTTTCCTTATAAGAAAATGGCTAATATTACCATAATTTGTGACCATTTTGCTTAAAGTGCGTATTTTCTTGATTCCAGACAAAACTTGGAAATTACAGTGAAATTTTCACTTTCCAAATTTATAATTACTAACAGGTCTTGTATAAATTACCTGGATTTACTAATCATTTTGATTACTAGCCCTCTGCCAATTTCAACAATTGGCCATTCTCAGGTATTTATAAGTCTCCCTAAAAAATACTGCAATGCCCTTAACGGATCATTAGGTAATGAAACCTGATTTAACAAACTGCCTGCCTTTATCTAAGATTATCCCTCCTTGCAATCCCTCTCTGTGTTGCTCCCTCTTTTTGTCTCTGTATGACCCCTCCCCTTCACTATGTTCCTCTTGGATGCTCAACAAAGTCTGGGTTTAATAGATGTTCTTCCAATCAAAAATTCTATTTTTATTATCAAATGAAGGTCTTTAATAATTATAACCATTTTTTAATATAAAACTTCTAGGACGAATTTATCCTCAACAGATCAGAGAATGGCCTTTATTTAAGATGACCTCCTCCCTGCTCCTGTCCCTTCCTGCAGGATCTGTGATACCATGTGTCTATCTCTCACACACCATTCATAAGTACAAGTGTGTGTGTGTGTGTGTGTGTGTGTATATATAGGTTTGATCTCTTCTCTAATTGGAACAAAAAAAAAAAAAACAGTTTTATAATTTCCAAGAACAACAAAGGAATGAAGACCACAAGAAAAAATTGGCTTCTTTGAAAAAAAAGTTTATGGAAAAAAAAACAACAACAACAAAGTAAACAAAATTCTTTTTCATTTGGTTTAAAAAAAAAAAAATCCAAGATGGCTGACTCAATAAAACACTTATTATTATTATTATTTTTTTTTAAAAGATTTTACAAAAAGAAACACTAGTTGTGGTGGTGGGGAGGGTGATATAGTTAAAGAAATCATCTTTTTGAATCATTTATTTATTTTTTATTTTCTTTGTCCAAAATTTGTTGGCTGAAAATTAAGGTAAGATTTTTATGACTTTTCTTGCATTTTAGAGTGGAGGTGATAGTTGATAAGGGTCACAGAATAACAGCAAAGTGGTGGGGGTGAGATTTCTTGGTTGTTATTGCATAATTTTTTTATACAATTGTCCAGTTACAAATTGGCTGTTTCTGTACATGGGATTCATTTCTAGAATAAGAATTCTATAACATAAAACTGACTTTAAAATTAATGCTAAAGATTTATGTATATATAAAAAAAACTTTACAAGTAAAGTTATATATATATATATATATATATATATATAGTTTAGGTGAGAATTTGACAAAATGGTAAATATACAAGACAATTTGGAAAACTGGTAGTTTGACATGATTTGCCAATGGATCAGCATCATCAGACCAATTCCTTTTTTTTTCTGATGATGCCAATCCTTTGGCAAAATGTGACAAATTAGAAGTTTTCTCAATTGTCTTACATATTTACCATATATACAAAGCTACCCTATCCACAGATAATGGCTTGAATTGAATCTGGGATTTCTAACTTGCTACCCTATCCATGGAAATTTCTTTGGCTTTCAAATTGTCCTCAGAACCTTGTTAAAAATTTAATGCACTTTCCGGTCTGGAGATGCCTAAAGTTCACCAATTTTAACCAAACCAGCCGTTTCTTTGTCTGTATCCTCTGTCGGATCAAAGGATCGACCCGTTTTTAATGATGCATAATAGTTTTCATTTGTGGACTTTGTTTCTGCCGTCTTTTTGGCACTAACTATTGGTTTTTCACTTGATCCACTTTCATTTTTTTGATGCTGTTCCATTTTTGTAGCTGGATCAACTCCATACATGGGGTTGCTGAAATTGGTAGGGCAAGCAGGATTGGCTGAACTGGACTCTTTCTCTATTGGATTCTGAAAGAAAAAAAAAAAAAAAGACACAGTGACCAGGTAAGATCAGCTTTAACATTGAATGGGACGTCAAACCTAATCATCCCCCTCCATTTTTTTCTTGAGGAAAACAACCATCATACATCTTTAATTGCTTAATTAAAATTCAAGGAATTTTTAACCTAAAATCTGTTATCATTGAACAAAATTTACACCCTCAAAATATTTGCAAGGGTTCATTTTGGTTAAATGACAGGAATGTATTGGCAGGGCTTAGAATACACAAACTATAGAAGGGTATGACACTGTGAAAAGGGGACAACTTTTAGGATCTGGCGTTGAGACTGGACCCTCATCTGCTGTATTTACTCCTGAAATTGAACTGATCAATCTAACCTAACATGCACAAAATGTTTCTTCTAATCAAATATTTCTTCTCATATCAAAAACTCTTTTTTGATACATGGGAATAACTTCTGCTATGTCAGTTTTTCCTCCTCCTCCTCCTCCCTCTATTCATTCTTAAGAGTTGTGGCTGGCATTATGGAACGGTGCAATGAAAACATCCATCTCCTGCCAATGACAGACTAGAACTCTTTCATAATTCCAAGCATGACTGTTAAAATAGACTAGTACTCGGATATACCCTTATTTCTGGTTTTAAAGCTACTTGATGTCCAAAAATCCCTCATCCACCCCTTTATTTGCCATTCCTCTTTGGTTAAATGGCTGCTGTTTAGAAGACCGGAATTCAAAAGGAACCATCTGCTGGTCTATCAAACAGAAACCCTTGAGATCAAGATAAAAATCACATCTCTTTCTATATGGTTGTCCATAGTATTACAAAATGATTAGTACAAATAGTCAACTTAGTGGATAGTGTAATTGTTTTTGGTATGGGTGTAAATTACTCTTGAGTATTTTATAACTATTTTATTTATCATCTCTCAGTTGCATCTCTGTCTTTGGGCAGAGTGTGCTCAGGGGTTGCTCTGTCGAAGGACAGTCGCAACTGAGGAAAATTATACTGAGAGGTGCCCAACCCAGAAGAACAGCTGTCTGAGGCCATGCCCTGTCATTGAACCAGAGAGAGGGATTGGTGCTTGCACTGAGGCCAGCGCAACCGACATTTGTGAAGGCTTGAGCAATTTTTGTTTCTAGCCTGGGTGTATGCGCTCGGGCTCCCAACATTAAACCAACCTTGTGTCACAACCTTACCTCATGGGGGGTTGTGTAAATAGAAATTATTTTTGGCGTGCCAATTTTACACAAAGATAACAATGGCAATATTCATAGCAGACATGTCAGGTATCCCAATTATCATTTATGCACGATCGAGGGTCATAGGGTTACCAGATGTATTGCAATGATGTGTCTTGACTGATGGGACCCAACCCTCTCCAGATTGGTTTTCTTTCTCCTAGACTAGTCGCCAACCAAGGCTATAGAACTCAGTCTCTCTTACTTTGCCCATTAACATTAGACATCAAAATGTTTCACTTTATTTGCAGAAATATAAACAAGACGCATTCAGTAGCATCCGAATGGTACAGGGCAAGGGCAGTATGACACTTAGGCTGTTATATATGACAGGGATTAAGTGCCTGAGCATTGGACTGTAAAACTGGTTTAATAGGCTAAAGACAAGAAATTTGAAGTGTAAGCCATCATACGTTGAATAATAAGTAAAATCAATGGTTTTACATTTTTCTTTTCAAAAATGATTATCTGAAGTTAATACAGAAGTTCTCTTGTCCGCCTGAGGGGATATATTCCAAAAATTCCCAAATCTATAACAATATTCTTACTGTAGATTTTTTGGGGCACAATAAGAGATTACCAACAATAACTAATAATAAAAAAGAAGCATTATAACAATAGACTGTAATAAAGGTTATGTGACGGAAAGAAGATTCGTTCTTACCATAGATCTTAGCAACTTCAGCATGCAATCCCTCCCCTTTTTAAAGTTAAGAAATTTCACCTTAGTTTTTAAAAAAAAAAAAACAAAAAAACAACAACTACTTTCCACCTTTTTTTTCTTGGTTATGAATTTCTGGGGTTAACTACAGGTAAGCAAAATCACAAATTGGGGACGGAAGGAAACAAAGTTTGTTTTAAACCTTAGATGACAACAGGGCCAATCTATCAGCCCAATAATACAAGCCTCAGGATTATTTGGTTGGTTTTTGTACCAGCCAATCAGATTGCTTCTTGCATTTCTTGCAGATCTTGGCCTTTCAATGGCAGTTTCTATGATAATTTTCTATGTTCTGTGATTTTTATATTGATTTCTTTTTTTGTGTTCCAAGTGAGGACTTGTGAAAAGGGTTCTGTCTTCTTGGCACTAAAACTCCAAATGCGGCTCCATCTCCAAAGGGTTATGGGTAAAAAAACAAAAAAAAACCTCTATTGTTGCTGTTTATTGTATTAAGTATTTTCAGCCAATAGAAACCAAGCGGATTTTGTCATACATTGCATCAATGTAATATGAGAGAAATGGAGGTCTCTTATAGACATGCAGCACTTCTGAGGAATTGGCTCTAATTGGCAAGGCAATCAATTTTTCATGCCTTTAGCCAGACTGCCAAATTTTTTACCCTTTGACATTTACTTAATTATCTGCCCTTTACTTTTCTAAACATAGCTTTAATGTATTCATTTATTATTTCATTCAGTCAAACTGTTTTGGACATTCATGACTATCACACCAACCATCAAGGTCAGAAGGTCATTCTGTATCATAACATAACTGGTCAATGTAGGTGATTGCTGAGCGACCAGTCTGTCTTGCACCATGGCTAGGTGTCTTGGAGAAGTATCAGGGATATGTCCACAGAACTGTGATTTAGTTGGAGGTTGTCTCCAAGAGATGTTAAATATAGCTCTTAGCATCCGTATAGGTTCCATCAAGCTTAGACTCTAGGATTTTAGTTAATATCCAAGCAATGGCACCATAGGTTAACACCGCTTCTACAGTAGCTGGCAGTGTACGAGTTGAGTTTTCAAGCCTAAAACTAGAGGTCAACTTATATAGAGAGTATAAAATGCAAATCTTTACCAGCACTGCTAACAATTACTGTACTTCATTTACCATACGTCCAACAGGCTATTACAGATATATCTATCTATAAAAGGAAAGATTGTGTGTGTGTGTGTGTGTGTGTGTAACGAATGCACGGCTGCAATTTTCGACGGATTTGCACCAAAATTTATATGCACATGCTCTAAGTTAGTGGGAAGGCCAAGACTGATTTTACATTTCCCAACTCCCATTGATAATGGAAGTAATCAATTTTTTCATGCTTCTACGGCAGTTTTCATGTAGTTTGCGGCCATTTTCTACTAGCCAGAGTGAGAGCCTATAGCTGACTGCCATGAATAGGCAGGAAGATTCTATTGGCCAGCATGAGAGCCAACAGCTGACTGACACAAATGCTAACTAGCATGCAAAAAAAATTGATAGCTGCATTCGTCACAAGTGGGAAAAATTTAAATCTGCATGGCACTTTACTCCAATTGGCTCATTCGCTTGCTTAAACTCAACGTTGATTCTGATTCCGCAGAACTGGGTTGGGTGTGTAAAAGTATTTCTTGTTAACATTCTTTTTTCATTCGGTTTTTCCAGTTACGAATCCTTTTTTTAAAGCTGATCGTTTTGTGTTCATTTTGTTTAGTTCTTTTTTTCCTAACAGATTTAATGTTTAGTATAGAGCTTAGAAAATATTCGCAGTGTGAGATAGTCAAGAAGTAAGGCATGTAGCAACATCAGCATGGCAAAGGGCACTCCTTTAAAGGCAAGGAAGTGCAAAAATATTTTAAGTCAAGTGATAGTGATTGCTGTATGAGTTGTACAATTTTTGAATCAAGCACGGGCAACACCGGGCCATGCTGCTAGTATCATACTAAAACTGTTATATATAACCCTCAGCATCCAAGTGTATGTTCCATCAAGCTTCAAATCATTTACATACCTAGGAAGTGAAATAAATTCTACTAAAAAGGATGTGAAAATAAGCTAAAACCTGGGAGACATTGAATAAAAAGGATGTAACTGTGTCACGAAAAAATAAATGATTTCGTCTTTTTCTCTCCTGTTGTAGTGACGGGAACAGTCTCCACTGCTGAGACTGAAACTGCCCTCCTCATTCCAGCCCTTTACATAGAGCTTGGTAACTCACCTATGCAAAACACCAGCAAGCCAGCTACCAATCACAGTTCCCGCGCCTGCCCACCTCCACTCGCTTTGGGGGTGTCAAGTTGACCGACCAACTCATTACACACTTAAGATCTTAAGATCACAAAGCTTTTCAGTTCGAGAGATGGTCGCGTCTGTCTGATGACTGCGTCCACATATATACAACTTGCATGCTTGACATATTGGGATTACCACACATGCGCAAACTTGTTTGCTCCGAGGTGGCAGATTTCCAGATTCATCCCGTGTCTTGCTGTCATGATCGCACAACGTGCAACTCGGAACAGGCCTCTTCTGCCGGGCACTCCTTTTGAGCGAGATGACAGGGTCATCATCCTTGGATGAACTCTCATCCATTGAGCTACCATCCGCCTCTGGAGAGCTGGCCACATTGACGTCCACAGGTAGAGTACTGATGTTTGAGTTAAAACTCAATGGATCCGACTTTAAATACACCACTCACGCACCATCTTCAGAGTCACTTTCATCATCTGATGATGGTTTTAACCCTACAACTGGTCGCAAGTCTTTAACATGACGAGGCACGCCATCAACCCGCACTGACTGCGGGCTGATAATCTCAGTAACATGCCCCATTCTAAGCTTGTCTGTACACTTGCTGTGCGGGGTCTTAACCCACACTATGTCACCAATTCTGTATGTTGCTTGCGCGTCGCTCGGAGCCATTGCGATGTCAATGCCTCACAGCCATAAGTGATAGGCATGTACCATGTTAGCCGGTGATGTTGTAGGCGAAACACCATCTTTAGGCGTCGCATTATACCAATAGACTGCTTCGGGGATTGAACATCGCTTCCTGGCTGCAATCACTTTTATAGACTGGTGGCTCCTTTCTACTATGCCGTTTCTCGCCGGCACGTAGGCGCACCGGAATCGAAGCCACACACCCCACTTCTTTAAGAACTGCAAGAATTGTTATGAAGAAAAGGCTGCACCATTATCTGTCAATATTTCTGCAGTTGGCCCCCAGTCGTAAAAGATGGACTCCAATTGACATATTATGCTGGCAGTGTCCTGCCGGTGCAGTAGTCGCCAAATGGCAAAGCGAGAGGGTCCAGAGTCAATAATAGTCAAATAGTTCTGGTTGCCAACATGTGTAACATCTATCCCCGGCCTGTTCCAAACATGGGTAGTACTCAAATTTCTTTTTTGCCATTGTACCGGTGCCGGGTCAATTGATTGGCATGCCTCGCACCTCTGCACTACTGTCCTAACATCCGTCTTTTTGACTGCTGGGTCGATCATCTTCGAGAAGTAGAGCGTCCGTTTAATCCCAGGATGCCCGTTTAATCCCGGTATGCTCATGATCCGCTCGAGGTCCATACTGAGCGCAGAAGGCGTACACGGCAGCTGCAGAGGTTCAGACTCTTTCCGAGCAGCAGCCAACCAACGTTGCGGGACGCGAGTCAATGCATCTGCTTTGTTGACTGCCGATTTAACTAATAACACTACATCCACAGACAGGTTGTAATTTTTGATAGTTTCAATCAGTGTGGTGAGCCGCCTTAGTATCAAGATCTCGCTTGATGCCTTGGTAGTCAGTCACGCTCTTCCGTTAAGTGCATCTGATGTTCAATGCTGAGTGCGTGACGATGTGTAGCACAGTTGCTTGCCATTGGAGTACCAGGTTAACTCCCTTCAGAGTGGCGTCTAGTTCGGCCAGGTTTATGTGTCGTGCATCATTTTCAGGTCGTAACCAGCATGCGTCTTCTATGATGGACCCATTGTCCTCAAGGGCGACACCCATGGCCAACGAGCTGGCATCCACCCAAATGGTGAGCTCGTTCCCCTTAATGCACTAGTCACCTCGCACGGGATTGTCTTGCATCACTCTCTCCATAGTTTCAGTTATCATGCATCTTAGTGTAACGTCGTGCACCTCGTCATACACTCTGAGCCAACCACATACGGGAAAATGGCCTACCAGTTTCCCACACATGGAGAAGGTACTCCGACGAGTGATCACTGGCAGGACTTCCGGGACGTCACTACTTCGCCTCCAGCGAAGTTTTTCTCCATCACTACTGACGTGTAGTCCAAGTACATTCGCTCCATCCTGTAACGGCTCTGGGGCCTTGCACACCAAGCCAAAGTGCTCCAGATGTTCCTTAACTCTCGTTGAAGAGGCCACGTTTTCATTGATGTAAACATCGTCAATGTAGGATGACGTTGCCCTTCGAATTTCCTCATCCTGCGACATGACCACATTCATGATCGCTGCCATGATTTTTGGAGCCACATTAAGACCAAATCCCAATCGAGTGAGGCAATATCTCTGTCCTTTTACCATGACAGTCTGAAAGGGCCAGAGTGATCGGTGGACTTGGACTTGGAGGTAGGCCCTTCTTAAATCGAGGGTGACCATGTTGCTCCCTTGCTGTCACCATTCCTGCAATTACTGGGCACAAACGTTCGCATTGGCCGTATATGCATCTAGAAAGTTATTCAATTCCCTGTAGTCCATGACCGGTCTCACTTTCCCCTTATTCTCTTGCACTATTGCCATCAACGGAATCAGTCCTCGAGGCGGCCCTAACTCCTCTTCGATTTACGGTGCAAGCCAGCCGTTTGCTATCCAAAGCTGCAATTCATTTTCATATTCGCCCCTGATATACTCTGGAACCGGGTACTCTGCTATTTTATTTTTCAGTGGCGTGGGCGTTCGTCCACCCGCCCACTTCCACGTTGTGGTCCATACGCGCATGCGCTGGTCGAAAGTTGCACTGAAGTCAGGTTCGTTAATCCTCAAAGCAGCACAGATAGGCGGATCAGAAAACTCGACTTTGCCCGCCTCTGTGATGTGTACGTCGCCCAGCTCCTTAATGTCCATCCCAAGAAGCAGATCAAAACCTAATAACGCGCTGTCCACGACCAACACGCTGGCTGTGACGGGGTTACCGTTGTTGATAGTGAGTTTGATGTTTCCAACTCCCTGGCTTCTGAGAGCTTTTCCATCAGCCGTTAGTACGTCCATCTTTTGTCTGCTCCACTGTTGACAAATCGAACCGTTCGTGAGTGACTGAGAGCAGCCTGAATCTACTAAAGCGGTACACATTATTCCATTGATGCGCACCTTAATCACAGGGAGTGCCTCTTTCATGCTCGGTGCAGAGAAGAGACTGGCTGATATCGCATCTCCCATTCTATTTCCCGGACACTTAGAGGCAATGTGACCTACTTTATGACATTGGAAACATTGTAGATCGAAACGTGCCTTTCGCGCCGACCCGCTGCGCATTGCTTTGCGTTGATAGCGGCAGTCTTTGGCAAAATGATTCAGCCCAGAGCACCGATAGCAGGTGACATCGCCATGGCGATGGATGGCTGGGGTCGGATCCTCTTTGACTTCAATTGGCTGAATGACTGTGGCCATTGGTTGATCAGCCTCTTTTTCGTCGATCATGATAGCACGGGCTCTGGTCAACAATTGGTTGAGCGTCATGTCTTCCATTCTGGATGATGTGCGGAGTATCTGCTTAACATGACTAAGCAATCCAGACACGAAGGCACAGGTCATCCATTCTTCAGGAAGCGGTGTGATCGGTACAGTGAGCTTCTTTAATTCCGCCACATATACTGTCTCGCCAGGTCGCAGACGCCGCACCTGGAATTGGTCATAGGCCACAAACTGGTCAGTTCCAAACGCGGTTAGTAGAGCGAGCTTTATTTGCTCAATGTCACTTTTCTGTTCTTTGCTCAGCTGCCTATACACAGCAAGGGCGCCACCTTTCAAGCGCAGTGGAAGAATCGGTTCAATCTTCATGATCTCGCATAATTCGCAGACCAGTTCCACCTTTTTGATCCATTCAACCACAGACTGTCCACTCGTATCACCACTGAATTTGGAGATCAGTTTTATGTCGAATGGTCTTTCCGCCATCTTGCTAGAGACAAAGTAAATGCCAAAATAGCTTGTGTTGGAATGTGTCACGAAAAGATAAATGATTTTGTCTCTTTCTCTCCTGCAGTCATAGCGACGGGCACAGTCTCCACTTCTGAGACTGAAACTGCCCTCCTTCTCATTCCAGCCCTTTACATAGTGTTTTGCATAGGTGAGTTACCAAGCTCTAACAAGCCAGCTACCAATCACAGTTCCCACGCCTGCCCACCTCCACTCGCTTTGGGGGTGTCAAGTTGACCGACCAACTCATTACAGTAACCTGGAAATTTGATCTACCAGACAACCACAAGCAGATTCTTTTGAACCACTTTAGAGGCAGTGTTAATGTATGGCATTACTCCTTGGACATTAAATAAAACCCTAGAGTCTAAGCTAAAATGTGGTTAACTTTTGTAACTATAATTCATAAATTACAAAATGCTACAGCAAAAAGAAAAAAACCCTTAGACCTTATGACCTCCAAAATTGAAGTTAGTATTTATCTTTTTATTATTGTGATTTTTATCAAAACCGCATTCAGTGGGATTTGAACCCATAACTCTTTGGAAGTGGCAGATAAGCTAAAACGCTACATTAAGTTCATAATTTAAACCTGTCATAGGCCACATACAGCTCATTTGGCTTTCTAAATTGCACACCTAATTTCATGAGAAATTTGTTTTGTTTCTTTCTCACTTGTTCACTCACAATCTCTCACACATAAACAATGATGAAGTGCAATGTTTCTTGAACTTGTAAACTTTTTTTGAAGGTAACATTTTCATCATTTTTAAACCATTGATGATTTTTCACTACGGAAGATCAGACGCGTAAATAACTTTTGCTTTAGAAACAGGAAATGTTCATAATAATTTGTTTTATCTGAAGAATAAATATAACTTTTTCAAGTGAATAAATTCAATATGAATCATGTGAAACAGTGTGCTAATTACACTGTCGTCTGAGCAAGATTTCAGTTAGATTTTTTTCTATAATTAAAAAAAAAAAAATTTTCTATGACAGATGCTTACATGTGAGTTCTTCTGTAGTGACAACAAAAAATGACCTTGAATCTTTGAGTAGTGTGGCCTGCCTTATGGTGAGCCATATCGAACGTTGCCTGATTTAAACTTTAAAAAAATTGCTTTGAATATTATTGTATCCTGTTTCTCACTTTGTAGATTAGAAACATTTGTCAAAAATGGTGCTTAGTTGAAAAAGAAAAAAAAATCTGGGTTCAATGACCATTATTTGCATAAAAGACCAAAATAAAAATACTTACAACTTCTTGACCAGGCGTAATCTCATAGCTGAGAGCTGGTGTTCCAATTTGGACATTTTCTCCATCCCGGTAAGCCACAACACCCAATGGAGTGTGAGGTACAGTTGGGCCCCCAATTAAGGGTTTGTTCAAGAAAAACTTTCTGTAGAAAGAGAAAACAAAAGGGTTTATTATTATTATTTATTTTTATTTAAAATATTTCTCTATTTGAAGTCTGTTGTAATGAGATTGATTTTTTTTTTTTCTTTCAGGTGGAATTTTCACTCTAAAAGGATCAGCGTATATACCATTCTGGAGGATATTTGAAGGTACTGACAATTCTGCACATTGTCTTGTCGGATTTTCCTAAAGTTTTTTTTTTTTTTTTTTTTTAAATACAATGGTAGGAGAGTAAGTGAAAAATTAGCTGCACAATAAATCTTTACGTTTTGTCACACTGCTTTCTTCTCATGTATGCTTATAGTTAGTCATGTGATTGAAGTTTCAGCTTGATCAAAGCCAGTTTTCTTGCTGCTGTTACAGTGTAAACATGGCCACTTCACTTGCAGTGTGCACCAAGAAGAAGAAAAAAAATTTTTTTTGTGAGTTGATTTCTAGCTTCAGCTGAACTCTTAGTGATACTTTTATTGTGAAAACAACATTATGTATAAATTTGGTGTTGGCGACCACAGATAAAAATGTATTAGAAAATGCCAAGCAAGAGATAACTCCATAGTCTGTGTCATGATAAAAATTACCAACTGCGACTTATCTTGTAGTTGCCACTCAATCTGTTAACGTTTAGCACTCTGCATTATTAATATTACTTCCCTTTCCACTGCATTCTTTTTGAAAGCTGCTCAATTGCAGTGTCTTCATTGCGCTCAAAATTGTTTTCTGTTGCCATAGCAGGATATGACAACACAACTATGAAATTCAAACGCTATTGTTCAGGTATCAGTCACCTTCAGTGACAGGATAAACCTTTTGTACAGCAAATGAAATCATATATGGAGTGATAAAGGTTAATTTTTTTTTTTTTTATTGCAATTATTCTTTTGCTCACATCAGTGATTGAGACTTGTTAAACGTCCTATTCTTACAAATCGGCAATCGAATCAGACATGCTTGGTTTTATTGATTGCAAAATGGGAGGGTGGATGTCAAGTCTGTGCCTATCTACAACATTCCAACCTGTCTACAGAAATTCACATTTAATCATGTAGCTGTCATTCTTTAAGCCCCCACCCCAATACCCATACTTGATTAAAAAAAAACAAAAAAACAAGAGTAGTATTTGTATTTATTGATTTATTTTTACTATTATGTTCACCCTGTATGAATTCCCTGAAGTCAAATTTTAAGTCAAACATAGTGAAACCTGGAGACTCTACCCTCGTAGATCATCCTGGGTATGACAATAAACTACATCCGGCAGCAAGGCCTCTGATCAAGAGGTTTTGAAGAGTGTGTAATTGCTAGTGTTCCCAGGTCCACCCTGACCTGGGGTGGTAGCACCTGTTAGGGTCCCAGCTATGGGCAAATAGTTAACACCTAAACTTGTGTAAAAATAGGTTTTAATACCAGAAATACTTTGTAATAAAAAAAATATTACCAGCAATACAAACAGCTATACATTCTTTGGAAAAAATATAACCAGCTGTAGATTTCTTCAAGGAAAAATATTCCCAGAAATAAAAAATTTTGTCGGCATTAAATATCCCATTGAAGTTGATATACTGTAAATCAATAAATCAAACCAAACCAAACTACCCTTGTAGATTGAATAAAGGAATCTGTTTGAAATTCTCTGAAGGTCACTTGGAGTGACACACACCTGAAGGAGGTCAGAAGGCACAATAGCTGAAGCATTGTGATAATAATAAGTTGACGACATTAGTCCAAATGTAAATTAATGAGAAATCCTCATCCCAGAAACTCTGATAGGAATTATCAAAGCTTTGGATGCAGTTTTTTTTTTTGTGTGTGTGTGGTGGTGGCGTTTCTAAACTCACCCTCGTTTTTTCATGAAGAAGAAGCCAGCTAACAAGACAGCTGCAATGATCAACAACAGTACAACAGGTACGACCACAGCAGTCACTTCTGAAACAAAAAAAAAAAAAAAGAATCAAACATTGTTGCCTAGCTGTGCTGGCCTGTTTTAGAAAAAAAAAAAAATGAGGAAAAAAATGGTATATGTGGAGATTGTTTGAAATCTGTGTTAAGTATGAAAACTTTTTGAAACACTGTATATATTTGATACAGTTTTTATAATTTCACCACAAGCCAAGCAATAAACCACTAAAATTCAAGGGGTTGATGAATAATAGAGAAATTAAGGAGAGAGAACAAGTACTAAAGAGACAGGGGATAATGATTGAAATTGATCTTCAAAAATTTCAATGCAATGTCAATCGTTATCTTCTGTCTTCTTAATTCCTCTTCTTTTATTGTCCTTTCCCCTCACTAAAGTCTTCTAATTCTCTTTCACTCTTCTTACTTTCCAGTCAACTTTGATCTTCAAAAATTTCAATGCAATGTCAATCGTTATCTTCTGTCTTCTTAATTCCTCTTCTTTTATTGTCCTTTCCCCTCACTAAAGTCTTCTAATTCTCTTTCACTCTTCTTACTTTCCACTCAACTTTGCATTAAAATTGACTGACACAGTGCAGTTGATAAAATAAAAAACAATGTGTGTGCACGAAATTAAAAATATAAAATGGTGACAATTCACCCATTACCCTCCATATATAATGTCTTAAAGTATGATATATTTGAGTTAGTGTTCAATATCAGGTATAGAGCATATGTAAATATAAAAGTGGACATTGAAGTCAACACTAAGCAGCTACAATCTGTTTTATACTTCAACACAATCAGTGGACAATAATAATACAAAATAGTAATCCGTATGGAATTTCCAAGAGGATAGAGATCCAGAGAGACAACAAAATTATTAATTAATGAATTTCAAGTGTTTAATATTTATTAATTATATATATATTTGGTTGGATAGATGTGAGTTTGTGACCCTGGGTTTCACGCTTTAGCGATCGTCAGACAAACTATATATATATATATGCGCAGTACTTATTGGAAAGCGATCAATATCAGTGATAGACCTAACATATTTAGTTGCATTAATGCGAGTTTGTGACCCTGGATTTTACGCTATTTGCAATTGTCAGACAATATATATATATATATATATATTTTAATTTCGATAAACATGCAATCAATTTACAAATTCATGAATTATTCACACAAAAACAAATGCAAAGGTTAATGATTTAATTGGCGAGAAATCCAATCATAAACAATTCAAATAATATACAAAAACCTCCGAATCCGTTATGAATGAAAAGATCCTTGTTTCTATAAATTTCTACCGTATTAGTTCTTATTTTTACTACAAGCTTTCGTCTGTTCCTACAGACATCTTCAGGTATAGAATAGATGTTGTTCTTGTTTTTTCTCTTGGTAATAAGAGGACAACGAAAATATATGTATTGTTGTATCCGAAAATGCTATTGGAAATGAGTTATTGTTTTTGGAGCGTGCAATAGCAACGCTGAGTTTGATTTTAAATTTTTTACAGTTGTGCGTTCATGTACAAATATGGTGATAAACGAATTTTTTACTGGTAAATTTTCTGTCAAAGTGGCATGAACTATATTGTTCAATAATTACAGTAATGTCGCACTTATTATCCAAATTGGATCAGTTATTTTAATTTCGATAAACGTGCAATCAATTTACAAATTCATGAATTATTCACACAAAAACAAATGCAAAGGTTAATGATTTAATTGGCGAAATCCATCGTCGCAAACAATTCAATTTTGTTTATTATTTGAAACAATTCAATTTTGCCAATTTATTAATTTGCATTTGTTTTTGTGTGAATAATTCATGAATATATATATATATATATTTTTATATTTATATTTTATTGTGATGATTTACCCATTTTAGTACTATAAAAGATCAGATGTATACTTCCTCTTTTCATTTTAGAATGTTGTAGGTAGAAAAGTTGTTCAGCCTTCTCTTTTAAGGGGGGCTTGGTCACCTGGTGCTTCACCATGTTGGCTTTCTTTCTTTCTTTCGTTTTTTCTTACACACATTTTTTTTTTTCCAGGTATATGTGTACCCATGAATATATTTTGTAAACCCTGTTATTTTTATGTCCTTTTATATAACTTCCTGAAAATGTTGAACTTTCAAAACATCAACCTTGTCCCATTATAAACCCATAGACTGACAATTCTCAATAAATGAAAATATATATATATATATATATATATATATATATAAAAAACAGTTTTACTTACTAGTATATTTTAATTGACCGAGTAGCTTTTCTGGGGTCACTGATGTACAATCACTGCCATAAAATCCTGGAAGAAAATATGAATTTTCCTTAGAAAGAAGAAAACTTAAAATGCAAGCTGACATAAAGCTGCCTGAAATGTTTTCACTTCAAAAGGGACTTTGAGTTTGTCAGTTGGATACAGTGGGTTGAAGGAATAAATGTGAAAGCGTGAAATAAAGTGTCTGACGATGAAACTCACCTGCCTTGCACTTGCATGTGTACGAGTTGTCGGCAGCCTGAACACAGGTGCCTCCATTCTTGCATACACAATGGGCCAATTCTACAGAAGTCTCCAATGCTGTAAAAGAAAAAAAAAAAAAATTCATCAAAATCCAGGACAAAATTTTTTATGTTTTAATTTTAAAACATAAAAATTTAAATCAGAACTATATTTTCATTCTGGACACAATTCTGGAAAATGACTAATTTCAAAAGGGCGTTTGTGTTCCAAACAGGATTGTTTCCTCATGGACCTATATTTTCAGGAAGTGCCCCTCCTTGACAAATTGACTCTAGTGTTATGACCATGAGACACCAATTCAAATTTCACTAATGTCCTAATGACTAAAAACAACATCATGTGAGATTATCAGGATTAAATGTTTAATAAACGGTTTGTATTTACCTGCATCGCAAATGGTTTTCGAACCTGGAAGTAATTTGGAATTATCAGGACACGCACACGTGTGGCCATCAGGAGTCAGAAGACAAAGGTGACTGCAGGTTGTCTTGTAGTAACACTTGCTTTTGGCTGAGAAAAAAAAATTAATTATTATTACAGAAGAAAAAAAAAAAAAACAGAAAAAGAAAAATAAATAAAAAAATTGTATTTTTACATTTTTTTTTTTTTTCTCTGACATTTTAAGATGATTTGAAAGTTGTGGCTTCTGTTCATCGTTTTCTTTTGAGATGAATTATTATTCTGTGAATGTTTTGAACTATCCTAATCTCCATTGTTGTTTTTATTAGAACCTTCACATGTTTGGTTTGGTTGGGTTTATGGCATATCAAAACCTCAATGGGTTATTTAATGCTGACAAGATTTTTATTGCTGGTGATAACTTTTTAGAAAAATGTATTTCTGGTATAAAAACCTACTTTTACACTTTCATAGTGTTTTGACCCCAGTTTGGGGGTTAACTACTGGCCCATAGCTTGGACCCTAACAGGTGCTACCACTCTGGGTCAGGATAGACTTGGGAGCATCAGCAATTAAGAGGTGGGTCCATACTCTTGAAAATTGCCTTGCTGCTAGATGTACTTTATTATCATACCCAAGATACTTTCAGATGAGTTGCCTATATATATATATATATATATATATATATATATATATTGTGTGTGTGTGTGTGTGTGTGTGTGCGCGCAGATATATAGAAAAATTTTTTTTGTTTTTGAAACATGAGAACTCTTATGTAGTGATTTAAAATAAATATATATATATATATATATATATATATATATATATATATATATATATATATATATAGTGGCTGTCAAAGAAAGGATTCAAAGATTGTCTGAGAAAATGCTTTGGTATCATTGCCAATGGTCAATAAATGAGAACCATGACAGCTGGTGTCTCACCACCAACCATGCTGTTTCCATCTTTGAAAATACCTGCAGGACTGCTCTCAGAGACAAGAAGCAGAAGAGGAAGTACTGCAGCACTATGCCATTGAGCCAAGCCCAAACTTTTAGCTGCAACTACTACAACAATTTATGCCTGTCCCACATTAGACATATACAGACTCCCTCCTGATCTTCGTTTTGCAAAGCCAAGCAATGATAAAAATATATATATATATATATATATATATATATATAAATAAAATTAATTTATATAATTAATTTTATGTTTTTAAAATAGGATACAGAAATCCCAACGAACTTTATAAATTTGACAAATGAAAATATATTTAATTACGCGTTTTGACATTCAAGGCTTCATCAGATCCCGCCCCCCAAAAAAAAGAAAGAAAGAACATAATATGTGCACATGCTTAAAAGTCCTTTTTCCCTAAGCTGCCGTTTCTTGCGATTAAGAAAATGAACTAAGAATTATAAAGATACCAAATAAATATTAACGGCTTTTTGAAAGTCACTCATTTTCTTTCTTCTTTAATCACAAGAAACACTAGTTTAGGGAGAAAGTAGACATGATTCATTATCTAAACATACATGCATTTCTTTCTTATGCTTTGGGATTTGATGAAGCCTTAAATGGCAAAATACATTATCAAATCTATTTTCATGAAATAGTTTACCATTTGTCAAACTTAAATACAGAGGAACCATCTCCCATGTCAAACAAATCAGTTTTTGAACAAAAAATTTGAGATGAAAATGCCTCGGTTCTCGAACAACATAGCCGAGCCGAGTTAACACCAACAGAATAATTTCTGAGTCGACCACTGTGTTGTGCTTTTCTTTTCCAATTTTATTCTACTGTGACTTTTTTTTTTTTTTTTCTACATTGATTCTTGTTGGAAAAATAGTTTTGGTTTATGAACATTTCGCATTACAAATGGCCTTCAGGAATTAATTAAATTCATGAACCGAGGTTCTACTGTATATAAGCTCCACTCTTGACTCACCAGAAGTCTCTTAATCTGATTTTCTTCCTAGAACTGAATTTATACTGTGTGATATGCACATAACTCCATCTATAGTTTCTATCATCACCAAACTAGATTCTCTACAAGGCATGTTGACTCAACAGTACCCCTGCATTTATCCTAAAGAAATGTTCTCCTGAACTGGCCCCTGTTCTATCTAAACTCTCGAACAAATTCCTTGCTGCTTCTTGGTTTCCAACTTGTTGGAAATCCTCTTCTGTAATTCCTGTCTTTAAGAACTTTGAACCTTCCGATTCTTACAGTTATTGTCCTTTTAGTCTTTTACCTTCATTTTGGCAAAGTCAAGAATCAACATGGAGTTGGTTAAGCATCTCATTTCACATGGCTTTCTTTCAGACGAACAACATGGCTTTCGCTTCTCTACATCAACCAACAATATGTTAATGGCTAACAGGGTTTTGCATGCTGGTCTTCTTCATAGGCTAAAGGGTTATGGTATTTCCGGATAAACTTTATGACTCAATCCAGTTCTTTGTAATAAATTATGTAATGAAGGTCGTATTGAATGGCCACTCTTCTAGATCATTTCACATTAATATAGGTGTCCTCCAGGGCTCTATGCATCTTCATCCACAACCCTCCCAATGTCATCAGTTCACAAATCGGCATTTATGTTAATGACAAGACTATTTACTCCTAACTTAATAATCAGTCCAATAAATTAAAACTGGCAGCTGATTCCAAAAATGACCTTCAGTCAGTTGTTAGCTGGGGCAAGAAATCGCTTGGAAACTTTAACAGCTGCAAAACAAAACTGCTGTCCTTTAATCATTTTAGGGAACCATTTTTGCCCTCTGTCAGCATGGCTGATGCTAACTTTCCACTGAGATGAAGTAGAATTTTTATATTGAATCAACTGCTAGGTTTTGCTGCTTGAAAAGCTGGCTCACTGTGTCATGTCAGATAATTTTTCTTGACAAAATCCCTCTTGCACTTTTATAAATCTACCACTTATCTGTGCATCAAATATTGCTGCCACTATATGTCTCTTGATAAAATCCAAAGAAGGGACTGTAATATTAGTGGTCCTGATCTGGCATCTCAACTTCAGTCACTTTACCCACCACTTTTCTAAAATATTTTCAAGGCAGTTCTTCTAATGAGCTTTCCTCTTTTGTACCTCAACCACACTACTAGATTGGCAATTAGGTCTCACTAATTTAGCTTTGAAATAGCTAGATATAACTGTAAGTTCTATTCTAATCATTTCTTTTCTTGCCTGTGGAATTCTCTTCTGGTTTGCTTCCCCACTTTCATCTATGATCTTCAAATGCATCCCCCAATCTCCATCTTCTGAATTCTATTCTTTTATTGTCCTTCCTCCTCACTAAAGTCTTCTCATTCTCTTTCACTCCCAGTAACATCTTGCATCTCAATGATATTATCGTCTTGCTTAGGGTGAAATGATTTTATATAGTAATGTCTAGCTGCTTATATCTGAGTATGCCCGTCTGCTAGAGTAGCTAGCTAATCCCTGTTGCAGATACCTGCTTGGCCACATTTTGTGTTAGTGAAACACCCTCAAAGCCAACCTGTGGTTTATACTGAATAGAGCTTAGTTACTGGGAGAGCGTGCATAATCTGGTGTAATCAACAATTAAACAAGGCCTGTATTTGCAATGACTCAGTCACGATGACTAGTGCGTTTGTGCTAGTGCAACTATCAATAACTTTTGAACAGTTTCTTCTACCTAAATTTATTCACAAAGACTCAGGTCAATCTGTGGAATTGGTTTCAGACACTTTCCTATAGTGCCACAGGCTGGGATCATTTTTCCCAAAGCTATTAATTCCAAACTTCTTGATAATATCTTTTGTCAAATCCAAGCTGATGATTTTTTTTTTTTTTGTTGTTGCTAGATTACATTTAACAAAGAAAAAAAAAAACTATTGTTGTCTCACCATCTTGGTTGGATTTGAGAACGTGAAACACTTTGACACTTCTCGGCAGCAGTAGTCCGCTCTGTAGGATGATATTGTCCCCTCGGCCAAACTTGTCCATCCTCAATAGCTTCCCACTATTTTGAGACAGCACGTACATATATTCTTCAAGCACATCAAGGCTTATAGGGTTCTGCAAACCTGAGAAGAGAAACAAAATCACTCTGAGAATCTTCAAAACATAAATTTGGACAACAGAGTTTCATCCAGAGACTGTAGATGAGTACAGAGAGGCAGGGTAGTGGCATATCAACACTTATATGGATCATTTAATGTTGAAATCTAAATATGAAAATTCAAACTTTAAATTAATTCATGAGAATGACATTGTTTCATGAAACTATAATTGATTTTTTTTTTTTTTTTTTTTTTTTTAAACCAAATCTTTCAAAATCAAACAAAGAGTGAAAACTTGCTTTTACTTACAAAAAATATTATTTATCATAGCAATTTTTTTTTTTTTTTTTTTTTGAGAGAGATTTTATGCCATGACTTCAATTTTATTATAAAACATATTGCATGTCATTTTCCTTTAAAAATGTACTGGTAATTTCACAACAAAAATGTATTGTCGGTAATTTTTTTTTTTTATAAAAATGTATTTTAATTTTTTTACACTATTTACGTTATTCGGATTATTGTCCTCATCTTTGTTGCCATATTTATTACATTTTGGTCGTTTTACACTCTGGCCTTCTTCAGATGGTTGGAATGTTGAACTGAACCCTTTATTTTGCTAACTGGGTGTTGTAGAGTTGTTTTCACAGTGGAGGCTTGTATTTCACTAAGTTGGTCCTAAATTAGGATCGACGTACAAAACGTTAGGAACTTGAAATAATAGTTAATGACGCAGCAATCTAGTTGTGGTCATTGATACTTCAATGTCCGACATCGACTGATTCACACAACTCCACTGAGCCCAACTTGCGACTGCTACTACTTATGCGTGGGAGAGTCTCTTACAATAGAATAGGTAATGTTCCAGTATAACACTGGGGTAGACTGTTCTAGTTCCGTCAGTTATCTCCTGTTAATTTCCCTCGCCAAGTTCTCCACTGCCATAACCGGGTATTGAACTCACACTCTTTGGGTCCTGTCACTTGATCTAACTAACGCCTTTATCCACTGTGCCATGTGTCCTTGAGAACAGTCTACCCCAGTGAGCGAAATAAAGGGTTCAGTTCGACATTCCGACCACCAATGGCCAAAACGTTGTAATAAAGATGGCGACAAAGATGAGGACAATAGTTCAAATAGGGTACATAATACCTGATCTCAGAAATATAGACGGATTTTGTTTTGATTATTGTTTGTTTTTGCCCATAGCTGGGACCCTAATAGGTGCTACTGCCTCGGGTCAGGGAGGACCTAGGAACAGCAGTAAAGAAGTGGTTCCATGCTCCACAAAACCTCAAATCTTCCGATCAGATGCTTTGCTGCTGGATGTAGTTTATCGTCCTACCAAGGATTCTGAAGATGTTGACAGAGGAGCATGATATTGAAACTGAGCTGAACTGTCAGTCCCCAGTGAAGTGTTGGCGGGAAGGGGGAGGGGGTGCATGCGACAGAGTCAGTCCCCAGTGAAGTGTTGGCGGGAAGGGGGAGGGGGTGCATGCGACAGAGTCAGTCCCCAGTGAAGTGTTGGCGGGAAGGGGGGTGCATGCGACAGTCAGTCCCCAGTGAAGTGTTGGGGGTGCATGCGACAGAAAGTACGGAAAACTGAACATAACCAAAAGCATTTATGGGGAAATAAAACTTAGTTTTCTTACCTTGACTCACGACAGTTACTCGATCTGAGCCGTCAGGTTTTATAGATTCAATGACATTTAACTTTGCATCACACCAAAAGACTCGGTTCTGCATGAAATAGTCTATGGTGATTCCTGTGGGATAAGCCAATCGATCATTGATCAAAACTTCACGTTTCTCACCAGTCATCCAGGCTCTCTCAATTGTTGGCATGTCACTATCGATATCAGTCCAATACATCCAACTGAAAAATAAAACAATTGTTTTGATATCAAAGCTACTGACAATCCCTTTCTTCCTGATTTTCAATGCATTTTTTTAGTAAAATCATTAGCAATGCATTTACATTATACATATAATAGCCCTATTCTATAAGTAATGCTTGCATTCATTTCTGACCACTGACAATCCTTTTATTTCTGATTTTCAATGCATTTTTATAGTAAATTTCATGAATTTAAGCATTCTTCTAGGCTGGCATCTCACTGACACCCTTCACTGTCAAAACTGTTAAATGTAGCCATCTCTTCTACTCCAGTAGCTTCATGTCTCGCACCTCTCGCCTGAGGAACTCCCACCCCTCTTCCTGTTTTCCTGATAGCCATAATCTCCGACTACTCAAATGTAATGTCAATTGACGTCTCCAGATGCCCTGATCTATCCCCTATCCTTCTCTTCATCCTTTCTTCTATCACTCCTCTTTGCTTTAGCTCCAACTCTCTGTAACCCCTTGCGTGCTAGTGGCTTCCCACCTTGCTTGGGGTGAAACGCTTAGAAAAAAAATAAATTAGCAATGCATTTACATTCTACATATAATAGTCCTATTCTATCAGTAATGCTGGCATTCATTCCTGACCACTGACAATCCCTTTCTTCTTGATTTCAAATATAAATAAATGTATTGTTGGATCCTTTGACATTTGATTTTCATTTATTCTGATAAAAAAGAAAAAGAAAGCAAATTTATTGAGGAGACCAACTCACAGCAGCAACACAGGTAATGCAGGCAATTCCATTTTCTTATTTTTCTGCTTGATCTCTATTCATAGAAATTGGATGACTATAAGTATGAACCAATAAGGGTAATGGAAGTCTAAAAAAAAAAGGTTTTCTTGTTTGGATGCAGGAATGAGCACGTCTCAGACAGCCTTTCATGCATGCAAGAAACTTTTAATTGGTCTCCATATTTTTGGGGGTGTATCTCTAACAAGTCTATGCCACATTCACAAGCTGTAAGACACAACAACTATATTAGGATTTCAAATCTAAATGTTAATTTTGTTTTTTTGTTTTTTTTTAAATATTTTAAGTATGGCTGAATCCTCAGTCGAATATTTTATTTTGTTTGTAAAAATGTCCCTAGCTATGCCATATTTAAAAGAAAATATCTACAGTATATTATATCTGTCCTTGATGAAAAAGAAAATATCTACAGTATATTATATCTGTCCTTGATGAAAAAGAAAATATCTACAGTATATTATATCTGTCCTTGATGAAAAAGAAAATATCTACAGTATATTATATCTGTCCTTGATGAAAAGAAAATATCTACAGTATATTATATCTGTCCTTGATGAAAAGAAAATATCTACAGTATATTATATCTGTCCTTGATGAAAAAGAAAATATCTACAGTATATTATATCTGTCCTTGATGAAAAAGAAAATATCTACAGTATATTATATCTGTCCTTGATGAAAAAGAAAATATCTACAGTATATTATATCTGTCCTTGATGAAAAAGAAAATATCTACAGTATATTATATCTGTCCTTGATGAAAAAGAAAATATCTACAGTATATTATATCTGTCCTTGATGAAAAGAAAATATCTACAGTATATTATATCTGTCCTTGATGAAAAAGAAAATATCTACAGTATATTATATCTGTCCTTGATGAAAAAGAAAATATCTACAGTATATTATATCTGTCCTTGATGAAAAAGAAAATATCTACAGTATATTATATCTGTCCTTGATGAAAAAGAAAATATCTACAGTATATTATATCTGTCCTTGATGAAAAAGAAAATATCTACAGTATATTATATCTGTCCTTGATGAAAAGAAAATATCTACAGTATATTATATCTGTCCTTGATGAAAAAAAGAAAATATCTACAGTATATTATATCTGTCCTTGATGAAAAAGAAAATATCTACAGTATATTATATCTGTCCTTGATGAAAAAGAAAATATCTACAGTATATTATATCTGTCCTTGATGAAAAAGAAATAGAAGACATTCATAAATTTCTGAAATGGTTTTGATTGAAAGAAAACAAAACCAAAAAAACAATGAGTTGACATCTACCTGGCAGCGACTGCCCTAGGACTGGTGGCACCCCAGGCAAGCTGAATTTTGGCATCTTTACAAGTATAATTTTTAAAGTTTTTCACAAGGAGAAAAACAGAATGTAGAACAACAAGTATTGCAATATACAACTTAATACAAGCTAAAGAAAACCTACATTATCTTTAACTGAAATATTTTTTCTAGCTTTTAGATATACAAATCTTTTCATGGCATTTTCTACACCTATCCTCTTTAAAAGATCATTTTCTATTGACAAATCTGTCTTTAGTCAGACCTTTACATCTAAGCCTCTCGCTACTCTATCGCTATTTCCATGGCAAATGTTCATATGAGCCCTGTTCCTTAGTTCCACCAGTTCAGACCTTTACATCTAAGCCTTTCGCTACTCTATCACTATTGCCATGGCACGTTACTGTTACATCTAGCCATTTCAACTACAAGATGGTGTACTGTATCACGTTCTACCAGGAAAGCGACCTCATACAACCTTTGTCACTCATACCAATAATATTAACAATTAGGAATATCCAATAAATTTTCAGGATTTTCCTATTTTAATTTTCTGATGAATCTTAATTCATAAGTTAATGACTGAGTAAGCTCATGGCATGTTCTGCGGCAATAAAAATTCTCTAACAGAATATTACAATAACAATCATAAATATGATTGCTGGTCATTATTTTAAGAAGGGGGTACAAGTGAAATCCTTCACTTAAGAGGTGTAAAATTAATAAAACTAAGGTATATACGTTTATTACAATTAAGCATTATTACAACAAGTAATGGTGGACTACACATCAAATGAATGCTGAAAACCCAGGACTGTCTCTTGTACTAGTGACACCACATCAGTCTGTGAAGATGTGAGGTGAAAAATACCTCAAAAGTTCCAAAATGTTGCCACAGTTTTATTACAATATACAACTTGATACAAACTAAAAGAAAACATTCATTATCATTACCTAAAACATTTTTTCTTGCCTTTAGATCTGCAAATCTTTTCAAAGCACTTTCTACACCCTTCCTCTTTAAAAAGTTCATTTTCTATTGACAAAATAGCCAAAGAATTTAATCTGTCTTGAGTCATGGACGACCACAAGTATGTTTTTATAAGATTTAGTTTTGGAAGATCTTAAATACATGACATGCGAACAGAATGTCCCGGTTTAGGTGACTGCCTGAGTTGCCAGTAACTTGAGCCGGCCCTGATCCTTGGAAATGAAAACCCATACTTACCCTGTATTTGAGTTAGTGACAATGGCATAAGGTTTTCTCAGTCCATTTCTAATTAGTGTTCGGCTGTATTTCCCATCGTAGGCAGCAACTGATATCGTCTTCTTTGCTGTATCAGTCCAGTAAATATTCCTGAAAGAAAAATCCGAAACGTCTTTGAAAGAAACTTGAATAGCACTCTGACATTTTACATATAAATCCACCAAGAGTGCCTTACTTCATGAAATTATTTGTGATTTCTTTCTGCCAGAACGTTGGATTGTGTTCGTTTTAGGTAAACATTGGTCGCATGTTTATACACGTGTCTGTAGGTAAACATTAGACATGTTTTTACTTGTGTTTATACTCAAAGTGAAGTGTTGGCAGATACAGAGAGAAGGATCCAAGTGTTTGAGAACAAATGCATGAGAAAACTCCTTGGCATTTTCTATTGGGAACAAGAAACCAATGAGTTTGTGCGGAAAAGGGTTGAAAGTTTTTTGGGACAGCAGGAATCTTTTCTTGCCACTGTCAAACGGAGAAAAATGGTGAGGTTTGGACACATTACAAGGATGCAGGTCACCATTGAAGGTGAATGTAGGAGAGGGACGTCAGCATACACACAAAAAGAAAACTGGTTGGACAATGTCAAAAAATGGACAGGTATGATTATAGCAGAATTGCTGATGGCTGCCGTTGATAGACCGTTGCGGAAAAGAGTTAATGTGGCTTCTGATATATATATATATATATATATATCTCCCTGTCTGTTCAGTATCTATCTATCATTAAAAGGCACGGCATCCTGTGCAAGAGCATCATGCAAGGCACCATTGAAGGTGGACGTAGGAGAGAACGCCAATGTAAAAAACTGGCTGGAGAATGTCAAACAATGGACAGGTATGACTGCACCAGAATTGCTGATGGCTGCCATTGATAGACCGTTGTGGAGGAAAAGAGTTAGTGTGGCTTCTGCATTCGGATCCACCCTACGATTACAAGGGAATTATGATCCTCGAGTCTCTGGATAAACACTGATCAGGCTCATACACTGTCTCATCTGTATATCATGTTGTTAAGACAGAGATTATTGTAAGCTGAAGTGAATTGCATTTACTGGGGAACTGAGTAGATGTTGACATCAAAGATTTATTCAGTATCTTTCTGCAGGACCACATCTCAGTTGGCACAAGTTTACACTTCACAAAAGCAAATTGATATGAGAACAATGTACATCTTTTGCCAGAACAGGCAAAACTTTAACGGGCACCTGAAGAAGGGCAGAGGCTACAACAGTTGAAACATTGAGCTAGTAACAACCAAGATGTGGAGACGAGACCAAATGCATAAGGGTAACAAATAAAGGTATAATAATGAACTCGACCGTAGTCAGGGTCGTCGAGTCAAATGGAATTCCACAATCCTTTTCTTAGCTGCATAGCATGTGACTTGCTAGGGCTACATACGGTTTTCAATTTAGAGCTATCCTTCTAGAATGGTTGCCAACCAAGGCCACAGAGCCCAGACTACCCTACTATTTACCCATAGTTGGAGGTTCTGAACTCAGAATTGGACATTTTTTAAGCCAGTTGGCACCCAAGGCTGTAGGACCCGGTCTGCCTTGCTATGTAATCCATAGTTGGAGAGAGAAGAGATGGATTCATATCTTTCTCAACAGTATTTGCACATAAGTGAATTTTAACGAACCCGACTGGAATTTGACCGCTATCTCCATTACATGTTTGTGCCTCCACCAAAGAAGAAGAATAAGAGTAATGATCAAAAATGTTAAACAACGTTGAACCTGGTAAGCACCTAGATAGGTGACCACTTGGGAATACCAGGTTCTGTAAGGTTGGATGTGCGGGTGGTGCAATGGTTAATGGCTCAGAATTGTTAATCGGTGAGCAAGCTTTCAATTCCAGATCGTTATATTTACTTACATGCAAATACACTTGGGAAATGTATGAATAGAGACTTTCTCCCCCAGCTATGGGTTAATTAGCAGGACTTGTATCACTAAATCATTTTTATTTAAAAATAAAAAAAAATACAATCTAAAATCTTTTTCTGGCTTTAAATAACCTGTAATGGGTTGATAAGCTGTAGAAAAAGAATCAATCAATCAATGAAATACTGATTAGCTACACAGGCATGTCCTTTACATTTATTTACATTCTCTGGAATATAAATGTATAAAAACTTTCGTGGTCACAAAGTGAGGGTTCAGTTTATATATTGATTGTAATATAAAATTGATCCCCCATTTTATATCTTTTTTTTTTTTTTTTATCAAATTCTGATTAGGTATGAATCCAGCTCTTCCCTTCCCACCATCTATTGCTTAATTTGTAAACAAAAATATTCTTACAATCTAAACATATTTTCTGGCTTTAAATAACCTGCAAAAGGTTGATAAGCTGTAAAAAAAAATCAATCAATCAATCAATTAATAAGAGTAACAATACTCACCCAGATATCCAATCTACAGAAATTCCATTTGGTTCTTGAAGGCCCGTGATGTAAAGTTTTGCAGCAGGGCCTGGAGTCTCTGCAACGTAGGCCCTATGAATTGATTTTAAGGTCGAGTCTGTCCAGTATATTGTTGAGTGCTGGGTGTTAAAAGCCAATGCTTGAGGCCGATGACTAGTGAAAACTTCAGAATATTTCCTTTTACTTGGGCTAAATCGCCGAATTTCACTACCCATCGTGAGATAGACAGTTGGTAAGCCTACAACTGAAAAAGAATCAGGATTTTTAAAGCACATGCGATTAAGAGACAGAATAAAATAATCTAATAAAAGAAATAAAAATATTGCGGAAAACAAAAAGAGAGGAAAGTGGCAGAATGAGTACAGATTTGTATTCTACCTAATTAGAAAGGCCTCCATGGCTGAAGTGGTAAAAGAGCTTTATAAAGTTTGGATAACAATTCTGTGTTTTTGATTTTTTTTATAATGTTCTAATAGCAGAAAGGTTGACAAATTCAGAATTCTAGGATAAAAAGCAACAATAAGGTGGAATAAAACTAGAAATGAAATAATAGTAATAGTGAAGAGTGTATAGCGTCAGAGTGCTGGGATAAAAAGCAACAATAATAAGTTGGCGTTATTCTTAAAAGTTTGTTATCAAGAGAAAATACTTACAGAATAGCTTGCACCTGGGGAACGGATAACTTGATTCAAAGAATCCAGTCATACAGGCACATTTAAAGGAACCTTTCAGGTTGTTACAAATCTGTGGGCAGTTGTTCCCCCATTGGGCACATTCATCAATATCTGAAAACGTCAAAGCATTGTGAGATTAAATAACATTCTGAATTAAAAGCCTTTTTGTTATGCAAATAAAATCGCCCTTTAACCTGGCGAATATATTCTGCTGAAAATTAAAGATAGATAGAGAGATGTAGAGAAAGACAGGCAGATAGATGTGGTGATAGATATATACATAGATGTGGAGATATATATATATGTGTGTGTGTGTGTGTGAAAAGTGTATATAAATATAAATAAATATATATATGTATAATTATTTATATATTATATCTTGTGATAGTTATTAAGCGCTCAATATCAGAGATAGAGCTAACATATTTGGTTGGATAGATGTGAGTTTGTGACCCTGGGTTTCACGCTTCCCAGGGTCACAAACTCACATCTATCAACCAAAATATATATATATATATATATATATAATTAATTAATATCAAACACTTAAAATCTCATAGGTAATAATTTTTATTTCATGAGAGCTCTAAAAACAGCTCGCAATCTTTCAAACTTCCAAACAAAATCAGGTGATTTTGTTTGAAAGATTGAAAGCTATTTTTTTAAAGTCTGCATTCATCTTGTTTATAATTTTTGTTTATCTGATTTTTATAAAAAGATAATATTGTTTATGTTTCTATTCTCGCTGTTGCTATTAGCAACCTTAGACAAGAAACGCCTAATGTGGAAATCCAACAATAAATTTTTTTAAAGCAGTCATGAAATAAAAATTATTACTTATGGAATTTTAAGTGTTTGATATTCATTAATTAATAATAATTTTTCCCTGTCTTTGACATAGAGATTTCTGGATCTATATCCTCCTGGGAATTCTATACGGATTACCATATTATATATATATATATATATATTAAGAAATGGACAAGGTCCGACAATTTATTTATTAAAGACATTTTTTATGTTTAACGTTGTTATTTTATAGATACAAGTATTTAAGCAAATGCTCTGTTTATGATAAACAGTATTAAATAACATTTACCAGCCTGAATGTCTGAGAAATTTTCATAGAAAATATTCGTTCTTTGACAGGATTCGAACCTGCATCCTATACGGAACCGTCATATACGCTGACGTGCCTTACCTCTAGGCTACAAAGAAGCATTCAGTAGACAAGGTCGAATATATATATATATATATATATATATATATATATATATATATATATATAAAAGCATAATTAAAAAAAAAATCCATAGTCAGTAATAAATTTATTTCACTGAATATAAGCATATTTATCTCTTCAGACCGATTGCATTTCATGAAAAAAACAAAACAAAAATAATGTGTGTGTATATATATATATATATATATATATATATATATATACATACACACACACATAATACATACATACATACATACATATATTTTTTATTTTATTTATTTCCTTTTTTAAGAGATGAATATACTTACATTCATCAAAATTTATTACTGACAACATTCGAAACATTGTAATGAAGAGATTCTTCTGAATGCTGGCATTGTAAAAAGCAATGTTGAGCCTGGTCAGTACCTAGATGAGTGACCACTTGGGAATACCAGGTGATGTAAGCTTGGCTGTGTGCGTGTGTTATGTAATGGTTTGGGATTTTTACTCAGATAGCGGAGTTCCAATTCCACTTGTGTTCCTTATATTCACTTACACGCAAATGCCCTTGGAAAAAGTATGAATCCAACTTTTCTCCCCTCAGCTATGGGTTAATTAGTTAGAATTGTATCACTAAATCAAAAAAAAATTCTTACAATCTAAAAATATGTTCTGGCTTTAAATAAACTGCAAAAGGTTTAAAAGCTGTAGAAAATAATCAACCAATGAAATACTGATTAGCTACACAGGCATGTCTTAGATTTATTTATATTCCCTGGAACATGAATGTATAGAAATTATCATGGCCACAAAGTGAGGGATCAGTTTATATATTGATTGTAATGTAGATTTGATCCTCCACTTTATATCCACATTATAATTTCTTGTAGGCATGTCTTTTAGATTTATTTACATTCTCTGGAATATAAATGTATAGAAACTACAGTGACCACAAAGTGAGAGATCAGTTTATACATTGATTGAGATATAGAATTGATCCCCCATTTTATATCCACAATTTATTGTAGGCGTGTCTTCGATTTATTTATATTCTCTGGAATATAAATAAATGTATAGAAACTATTGTGGCCACAAAGTGAGGGATCTATTTAAATATTGATTACAATATAGAATTGATCCCCCACTGTATATCCACATTTAAATGACTTGTTCATCAAATTCTGATTAGGTAGGAATGCACCTTTTCTCCCCCTATCTGTGGATTAACTAGTAAGACTCGTATCACTAAATAATTATTAGCTCAAAAAAATTCTTACAATCTAAAAATATTTTCTGGCTTTAAATAACCAGCAAAGCCGTAGAAAACAAACCAACCAACCAACCAACCAATCAATACTAAATGGAGAAATTTTGCAACCAATCGAAATTGGATTAATTAATCGAGATTTGATACAAAAAGAAAACTCCCACTTAATAAAGTTTTCTTAAAGTTTTAGATAATATGGAAAGACGTTATGCACACATTGTGCCTACCTTCACATTCTTTCCTGTTTGTGGTTGACATGTTGTATCCCTTCCTGCAGGAACAGTAGAATCCACCCTGTTTGAGGTCCGTACAGTTATGTGCACAGCCACCATTATTGACAGAGCAATTGACTGTACCACTCGACTTAACTGCAAGAGAAGAAGAACAACAACAACACAATGGATTTTAGAATTGAATAAAAGTAAACATGGACCTTTGTGTCCACAAAAAATTGCAATGTCAAATGGGCAGTTTTTACCTTGACACTGCTATTATTTTAACTACCTTCACTCCTTGGCAATGTTCATTGTTTTAAAAAGTGATGATTAGAATTGTAATAAATCCTAAGTATATAAAAGTGAATTTATACATTTTTTTTTTGTTATTGAGAATTTACTTTGAAAATATTAAACATTATTAGATTGTTATTTACAAGAATCATTTTATATTTACAACATTCTAAAAACTAATCCAATTAAAACTAATGCAATGCATTATTTATTGTTGGTTTCAGTCTTGAGTAGGAATGACTCAAATATTTTCCCCTCTCCCTTTTAGAAGCAGAGGAACACAAATGCATACTGGGATTTTTTCCTAACCAATAAAATAGGCCCAGTCTCGGTTTCCTCTGACTCAGTCTCGATCTGTTTTGTCTTGAAATCATATCAATAACGTTACAATTGCTTGTCTGAATTTAATCTTGTATGTTAATCCTAATTCTTAGTTTGTGAACTTCTTTGCCTTATTACCGTTGCTTCGCCTTATTACCGTTAATTTGCCTTACATATATTGTTTGCTTGCTTTATATTAATTTTTGCCTTGTTCTTTTCTTTTTCTTGTTATTGCTTCTTACAAACTTTCTCAATTGCGTTTGTGGGACAATTCTGTTATTTATTTTGCGTTTGATCTGCATTTATCATTTGCCATTTTATAAAGTTCGAATCGATTGTCATTTATCCAAGTTTTTGCTGACCATTCCAATAAACAATATAATAAATAAATAGTTTTTAATTTTTTCATTGTAAATTCTCAAAAGCAAAGAAAATGTATAAATTCACTTTTATATATTTAGGTTTTATTACAATTCTAATCATCGTTTTTTTAAAACAAACATTGCTGAAGAGTGAAGGTAGTTAAAATGATAGCAGCGTTAAGGGAAAAACTGTGCTTTTGAAACTCTTTTTTTTTTTTTTTTTTTAAGGCACAAAGGTCCAAATTTTTCCCAGACATCATTTGAAATATTCATAGGCTTGGATAAAGGACTTATACTTTTAGGAAATTCTAAGAACGGCTTTTGAGATAAGCAACATAGATTCAGAGGAATATAGTAACAGAAGGTTGATTAAAATGAGACAGTGTCATCTCTTCCATTGGAAATAGGTCTGGGAGATGGCAAAAAATAATTTTTATAAAAACTTTTAAAAAGAAGCAACATTTTCAAGAGGCAAATTTTTAAAGAGACATCTTGAATATAAAGCATTATTTTTTTAGGGGAAAATTTCTGTCAAAACATTTTTAAAAGAGGCAATGTTTTAAAATGAGAACTTTTTAAGGAGAGTTTTGAAAGAAGCACTAATTGAAAGTGGCAATTTTTTAACAAAACCTTTTTAAATAAGTGACATTTTGAATGGAGCATTATTTTAAAGAGGTGTAGGATTTTAGATAGCATGCCCTACATGAGGGGTTCTGAGAGAATGAGTTTGGACCTAAGAAAGGGCTGAAACACGACCAATATCCAGACTCATACTAATGAGGAACAAAAGACATTCCTAGATGATAACCCATGACCTCAGCTTAACTTAAAGGTAGAAATCTTCTAGTCTAAGACAAACACATATTTGTAATTATGAGATCTGTCAAGTTTTATTGTTGTTTTACATTGTTACAGTTAACAAAATGGAAAAACGTTTTGGCACCACCCATTTCAATTCCCTTACTACTTTGTATTTATGTGTGGAGATTCTTGAGGTAAGGAGCCATTATAGTATAACAATCTAACAGGGGCAACATTTCAAATGGATATTTTGAAGAAAGCGTTATTCTAAAGGGACGACATTTCAAAGAAATATTTAGAAGGAAGCGATATTCTGAAGAGGTGACATTTCAAATGGATATTTTGAAGAAAGCGTTATTTTAACGAGGTGACATTTCAAAGAGATATTTTGAAGGAAGCGTTATTCTAAAGAGACGACATTTCAAAGAGATATTTTGAAGGAAGCGTTATTCTGAAGAGGCGACATTTCAAATGGATATTTTGAAGGTAGCGTTATTTTAAACATTTTATTGAAACTTTTTTGAATGAACCAACATTTTAAGGAGACAAATTTTTGAAGAGGATTTTTAATTTGAAGAACCAATTTTTTAAAGAAACTTTTTTTTAAAAGCAACACTTTTGAGATGCTAGTTTTTGAAAGAAACAAATTTGGAAAGACGTAACTCACAACAGCCCTGTTCATCGGATGAATCCTCACAATCGATGATGTCATCACACACTTTAGAAGAATGAATACACTGTTTACGTGTGCTGCATTTAAATTGGTTTGCTTCACATCGACGTTTAACAGGTTCGCCTGAAAAGAAAATCAGAATTGTAAATTCAGGTGTTACGAGTTTAATCATACTTATTATAAAACCCAGGTTGTGTGTGTGTCTGTTTGTTTATATATTGGATCGGATTTCCTACATTTTTCAACCAGGTTGTGTGTGTGTGTGTGTCTGTACGTTTATATATTGGATCGGATTTCCTACATTTTTCAACAAAACTTCACAGGACTACGTAAAATTATCTTGTGGTGGTTCTGACAGCGTCAAAAATTGGAAAAACACAATTGTTTTTGCACAAAATCAATTTGAAAACACGATTAAGAAGCATAGCTGTCGTGACAATGAAAGGGGGCCAACTCATATCGAGTTATACTTATTATAAAACCCAGGTTGTATGTGTGTGTGTTCCTTTATATATGGGATCGGATTTCCTACATTTTTTTAACCAATTTCAACAAAACTTCACTTTTTTTAGCAGGTAGTGTTTCTTATTGTCTTGCACACTTTTTTCTTTATTTTTACATTCAGAATGCTTTAAAAATTCCATTTACAAGACAATTGTTTATAATAAAATTCTATTCAATTGGTAGACTCATAACGATTGAAAACAATGTTTTTGTTTGAGTTTGGGTTTGACCAATTCGTAAAAAAAAAAAAAAAAACTAATTAAGACATGCGTGTCCGTCAACCTTAAACAATAATCTTTGTCAATTTTATTTTTCAGTCTTTATGATGGTCGATACTTGATCTCTTACTGTTACATCCCCGGGCAACGCCGGGTTCTACTGCTAGTAACTAATAATTCCCATCAAACTTTCTAAAACAAATCATTAGGAATTTAAAATGTGACCATTTTTCTTTATTTGTTCTACAAGAAAGAATTTCTCATGACATTGATGAGTTAATCACTTGATGTCTTTCTGGAAAAATGTCTCACTCTGTCAGCATCTTTCTCTCTCTCTCTAAAATGTCTTTACTTACTTCAGTTTGTGTCTCCAGATCTATCTCAGTTTGTTCGTATCTGTCTACTTCAGTTTACTTGTCTCTATCTATCTTAGCCTGTGCGTAGCTGTCTCAGCCTGTCTGCATTTGTCTTAAAAAAAATTCCAATAATTGGTAGATTTTAGTTCAACACAAATTCTAAAATTCTACATTTAAAAAAATAAAATAAAAATGAAAAATGTTCAATATTTTTGAAAACAAAATTTAAGATAAAAACTCTACAATTGAAAATAATTGATTATAAAAATATATTTTAAATAAATTTAGGATGAAAAATAAAAATAATATTGAAAGGAATTTAAATAAAAAATTCTGTAATTAAAAAAATAGATAATTTCGTAATTATAATTTAAGTAAAAATTTGACAAATGTACACACAAAGTTTATACCATTAGGACAAAAATCAAGAAATAAAGAAAATGTGAAATTAAATGATTTGATGGCATTTAAGACACTCCCCTACATGTTCCCCACTAAAAATGGCTCAAAATATATTTACTGGGTCTTTTAATGCAAAGTTGGGATATCTGGTAGGTTAATGTTACTCAAACACCGTAGACTACCAGTTTTATTCAGTCAAGCTGATGAGGCTATCATGGCAACCATTACAGTCTTTCATTAAGGTCAGAACGCATTAAGGTGGCTGCTGGGTGACAAACATATCTTGCCCTGCATCCAGAGCAGTAAATCACTTGCAAGCTCTTGTTTTGCTTGCATGTCCTGCAAAGTGCATTCTGCATTTGTGTAAGATTTTAGATGGGTCCCTAAAGTTGTGATTTAGTTGGTTGTTATTTCCGAGAAATGTTGATTATAGCTTTCAAAACCCGAGTGTAGGTTCCATCAAGCTTAGAATTTTGTTACTTCTCATGAAAAGGCTGCAGCAGATGCCGTTATCTTTAAAACCTAAACAACAGCAACACATTTCTTGGGAATCCCAAAGGGTTAACGTGAAAGAAAAAGCTGTCATTTCCATCCCTTCAATCTATCAAAGACTTCAATGAGATGCTTGCTTAACTGAAGAACTCTCATGAAGATCAACAAACTGAATAAATCCAGGAAAAAATTTGTCTCATCAACTCCGCTGCTCTCAACAAACAAATCTATTCTTGTTTGGAAAATTGTTAATGAGAACAGATTACCAATACTTGTACCGAGATAAGTTTTCACTACCTTTTTTTTTAGTGTTTTTGTAACTTTGCGAGCACCAATTTTAATGTTATATCCCTTTTTTTTTTAAATGCTATGGTGCCTTTTTTTAATGCTATCTCCGCTTCTTTTAATGTTATATCCCTTTTTTTTTAATGCTATGGTGCCTTTTTTTAATGCTATCTCCCCATTTTTTTAATATTATATCCCCTTTTTTTTTTTTTAATGCTATGGTACCTTTTTTTAATGCTATCTCCCTTTTTTTTTAATGCTATGGTGCCTTTTTTTTAATGCTATCTCCCCTTTTTTTAATGCTATGGTGCCTTTTTTTATTGCTATCTCCCTTTTTTTTTAATGCTATGGTGCCTTTTTTTATTGTTATATCCCTTTTTTTTTAATGCTATGGTGCCTTTTTTTAATGCTATCTCCCCCTTTTTTTTAATGTTATATCCCTTTTTTTTTAATGCTATGGTGCCTTTTTTTAATGCTATCTCCCCCCGTTTTTAATGTTATATCCCTTTTTTTTTTAATGCTATGGTGCCTTTTTTTTAATGCTATCTACCCTTTTTTTAATGCTATCTCCCCCTTTTTTAATGTTATATCCCTTTTTTTTAATACTATGGTGCCTTTTTTTAATGCTATCTCCCCTTTTTTTAATGTTATATCCCTTTTTTTTAATGCTATGGTGCCTTTTTTAATGCTATCTCCCCCTTTTTTTAATGTTGTATCCCTTTTTTTTTAATGCTATGATGCCTTTTTTTTTTTTAATGCTATATCCCATTTTTTTAATGCTATGGTGCCTTTTTTTAATGCTATCTCCCCCTTTTTTAATGTTATATCCCTTTTTTTTTAATGCTATGGTGCCTTTTTTTAATGCTATCTCCCCTTTTTTTTAATGTTATATCCCTTTTTTCCTTTTTTAATGCTATGGTCTCTTTTTTTTTAATGCTACATCCTCTTTTGTTTTTAGGGCAAACATGTTTCTTCCTTTTCTTTCTTTCAATTGCCATGACTTCTCCAGGATTTTAACTTCTGAGTTATTCTCCTAGACTGGTTACCATCCAAGGCTAGAGTGACAGGGAGAAGAAATAGATTTGTGTCTTTCCCAAAGGTGCATTCATGTGAAAGGGGACATAGCAGGCAGAATCAGATCTCAGCTTTCTAATTTCTTTTTCAATTAAAAATTAATTAAACAAAGAAGAGTAAGTCAGGCAAAACTGATCTTTGTACAAATATCCATGGCTTTTTGAATTTCTTTTACATCACTTTCTTTTCATGAAATACTGATTTGTGAAACCTAGGCCAGAATTTGAACTTGGTATGCCAGTTCCATTTTTCACGTCAATAACTATTGCGCCACCCTCAACTCTTATGATACTGTCATATTAAATGTAAATAGGAGGAGAAATGTTGTCAAATTTGGTTAAAAAAAAGTTTTTTTTACATATTTCAAAATTTTTCTCATCCGATGCATCTCCGCAGTTGTCCACTTTGTCACAGACGCGCCAACGGGGGATGCATATAAAGTTGTCACACCGGAAGTGTGTATCAGGAGAACACTCAGTTTCTTTACACACTGATGCGGCTTCATCAGAATTATCTCCACAGTCATCAACACCATCACATTGCCATTTGCGTGGAATGCAAATCTGGGAAGGAAAAAAAAAAAAAAAAAAAAAAATCAAATTTATTATCAATCATAATAATAGCCATTTCCTTATAAGGAAACATTCAGCATTCATTGATCCCATGTGTAACTTGAATAGCACTGGCTCCAAAAGCCAGTGCTATTCGAGTCATGTTTTCTTTTCTCCCTGACAATTGAGCTGAGATCAAAGTGCAGTATCTGTTCTCCTCATTACTAATAGTAATATAAGCCATTTCCTTATAAGGAAACATCATTCATTGATAATGTTAGCTGTTTCCTTATAAGGAAACATTCATTGATCAAGTAGCCAGGGCTACTTGAGTTATGCTTTTCTTCACTCCCTGGCCATTGGGTCGGGATCAAAGTCTAACTAACAAAGAAGCCAGTGCTACATATGATTGAAATTTATAAAATCTTTTTCTTAGAACATTTTTTTAGGAAATTAGATTTCTCAAGTCGGATAATTGTTATCACTCCTCCAATATTAATGGGAGTTTCCTTCCTAACCTTTTATTTGAAGTTGTGTGGAATGTCAATATCTTGATTATGTCAGTTTTTTTTCCTCTCTTTAAGTTACATGTTACTGCAGGGGTTTACAGGGAGTCAAAGAGAATGAGAAAATGAAGTGAGGAAAAAACAATAAATGAACAGGTTTATGGAAGACAAGATGGCGATTGATGTTGCATTGAAATTTTGAAGATTGTAGGGAAGCAAGAAATCAGAAGGGAACTGTGAGAAAAGAAACTATTAGAATAGAATTGATGATTGTATTTGGCTAGTAAATTAAAACATTGAAACATAGTCAAGGCGCTAAGGAGAAAAGCTCATCAGAGCAGTTGCCATGAAAATATTTCTGGAAAAGACCAGGGGAAGCCACGTCACATTGGTGAGGAAGTGACTGAAGTCGAGATGCCAGGTCAGGATTGATTACATTGCAGATCCTTCTTTGAATTTTGTCAAGAATCCTGAGATGTACAGCAGGAGCACCAGACCAGATATGGCAGCAACATTCAATGTATGGATGAATGGAAGATTTATAAATGTGCAAGATGGGTTCTGACAAGAGGAATGGTCTGGCACAACACAGTGAAACAACTTTCTGAGCAGCAAACCTAGTAATTGATTCTGTTAACTATGCTGACTCTTGTGGTCTTACCAAGGATTGAATTCATCATTCTTGGCTAACAAATTTCTAAAGATATTAGATTCCCACTTCTCAGCTTAATGGATGCCTTCTATGCAGTGGTAGTAGCAGGCTTGTCTCCCCTCCTGCCAAAATGGATTTAACCTTTAGCCATTATGTAAGTTTACTGAAATTTCTCCTCAGGGAACATTTTTATAGTTGTTTGGTAAAGTGCTGTCACTCAGTTTATTTATCAGATTCAATATAGTTACTCCACTTCATGTTAGTAGAAAACATGAGTCCAAGATGGTGTAGAATGTTGCTATCCTGGAGTTTAGCATCAGCCATGCTGTTGGTAGGTAGAAAAGTTTTCATGAGGGTTTTAACTCGAAGGCATTGTTCACTGTCATGGAATTTTAATGAGGAGGGTCTCTTAAGTTTAAAAATTTTCAGAAGCCTCTCCTGCCCACATTTATTCTAGTGGCAAGACTAAAAGAAAATATTAATGTAAGAATAATGTAATAATGTAATATAGAAATGCGAGTGTGGCTGAAAAGTTCATAGTCTAACCAAGATACTCACATGGAATGCGACTGAGATTTATTTTTCAACATAGCCCTCCATCCCTTGCAGTCCACACCCTTTTTCTATTGATGTTGCAATGTATGGATCCCATTGGTAAAGCAGCTTTTATATCTGTTGGTCAAAAAAGTCATCAACAGTAGATTTGATGTCATCATCACTGCGATACTGGTCCCAGCCAAGTGTTTTTTCATGTTGGGGAACAGATGATAGTCAAGTGGAGCCAAATCAAGAGAATAGGGAGAGTGATCAGTCAGTTCAAAGCCACAGTCAGCAAGTAGGCATAGTACTCTCCATTGGTGGTGTGGCCCTTTTGAAGATAGTCAATAAACACAATGACGTTTGCATCCCGAAAACTGAGGCCATCATCTTCCCTGCAGATGAAATGACTTTGGCCTTCTTAGGAGCAGGTGGTGAGAGATATTCCCATTGTATGGATTGACTCTGGCTCAAGATAATGAATCCAACACACATGCTGGGTTAAAAAACGTTCAAGGAAACCAGATGGATCTGCTACAATGTCAGATTTCCCTCGTGATTTGATCAGACTGGTGTACTTTTGTTCAGGTGTCAGAAGATGTAGCACTCGCAAAGCAGAAATCTTTGACATGCCAAGTACAGGGTGCGGAACATTCTCAACTATCTCACGGGATATTCTAATAGCATTGGCTATTTGATTTTTACTCAATCATCTTCCATCCATCAACACATGGTGAACACAATGTTTTCCTCAATAATAATATTCAAGACTCTCCTTCCACCTCCTAAATTCAGCTGCCAACTTTTGCACTGTTGATAAAGCTGGAAATCATCCCCTAACGTAGCAACTATGTCAAATGAACAACCTTAGGGGCTAAACCCTTTCCCTGCAGGTGTCTGTTAACACCAGAATGCTACTAGTTACTTTTGAAGACTTCTTTAAACAGTTAGACATCAGTTTAAGAAAGAATGCAGTTATTAATAAGAAGAGTTGAAATTAAAGCATACGAGATTTCAGAGCTCTCGTATCACTCCTTCATCATCAACCAATGAACTTTTCCGACCACCCTCTTAATAATGTAAAAAGAAAATCTGATATCTCTATATTTCTGAGATGAGATATTGTAACTGTTTACATCGTTCAGACTTTATTGTCATATTCACAATGTTTTGGCTGTTGTATGCTCCGGCCTTCTTCAGGTGATATGTGTTGGAATTTCAAACCAAACCCTTTATTTAGTCCATGGAGGTAGATTGTACTAATTCCACGTGTCATGCCATTATTTTACCTTAGTAGTTCAATACTCCAAATTTTGTGTTCCCTCTGTTGTGGACTAAAGTGTTTGGTTTGAAATTCCATCCTATATCACCTGATGAAGGCCAGAGCATATAACAGCTGAAACATCATGAATATGGCAATAAAGAGGACTAACAATACAAAATAGTTTTATATACATATATATATATCAGCCATGAAGATGGAAAATGGTTCTCTAAGATGATTAATTCAGAGCCGTTTTGTTTTGGATGCAATTAAATTAACAAGTCATTCCTTGCCCCAGTTAACAACCAATTGGAAGTCAATTTTTGTGATCAGCTTCTATTTGTGTAACATTAATAACTCAACTCTACAAGTTTTTGTTCACCAGTGCTGTGGCCAGGTATTGAACTCACAATTCTTTGATCATTTCAACCAATGCTTTATCCACTAGGCCATGTGTCCCCCAAGTAGAGGGAAACACAAAACTTGGAGAGTTGACTCGCTAAGGGAACACTGAAACTGAGATATCCAGAAAAAGCATGGCAAATGGAACTAAAACAATCTACCTCAATGGATAAAATAAAGGGTTTAGTTTGAAATTTGAATGTATATCTCCTGAAGAAGGTAGGAGGAGTGTACAACAACCGAGATGTTGTGAATATGACAATAAAGATGAGGACTCCAAATAGTGTAAATATATATATATATATATAATGTATTTATTTCCAAGAGAATACAATCTAGGTAGAGCTCTATGTACAAGATAGAACAAGAATATATATATATATATATATATATATATATATATATATATATATATATATATATATATATATATATGCATGTTTCATTAAAAACGACAGACAAGGTACTACGGTTGAGCTTTTTATTTAATTTTTCTTGTGTTCTGACAAGAGCTTTCTTTTCTGGACAAAGAGTGTGTAAGAACTGTCCGATTGTTCTGTATTTCCGGCTTTTCGGCTATACCTTTAGCCATTATCAAGGATGATCCAATTATCAGCTTAGTAGAGTGTGTGTGTTCTGTGTATGTTCAGTGTGTGGTAGTGATGTTTTTAGTTTCTGAATACGGTTAGCACATTGTGGCTTTGTTCATAGTTAATATTGTTAAGAGTTGGCTTTTTCTTTTTTATTATTAGAGCTTCCATTATTTTTAGTCTTTTTTTGCAAGTGGATGCAGTTAATATATTTGTGTTTTCTACTAGTATGTTCCTAATAGTGTCGGGTAAATCTGAGTGTGTGTTTAAATGTGTTCTGATGGAACTGTATGATAGGTGTAATGTAAGACGTCTGGATAAACATGTGGTTGTGTAGCCGATGTAATTATTTATGAGTCCAGTTTGGTGAGGAACGCAGTTCCTTAAAGGGCATTTGAACTCATAGATAATGTTTGTTCTACTAAGCTGATAATTGAATCATCCTTGATAATGGCTAAAGGTATAGCCGAAAGCGCTCGGAAATACAGAACATTCGGACAGTTCTTACACACTCTTTGTCCAGAAAAAAAGCTCTTGTCAGAACACAAGAAAATTAAATAAAAAGCTCAACCGTAGTACCTTGTCTGTTGTTTTTTAATGAAACATGCATAAAGGAAGGATTGCTGCCTAAATAAATATATATATATATATATATATATATATATATATATAGTTTATGAAAAACCAGGTAATCCGTATGGGTAAACCTAAGGAGGATAAAACCCAGAGAGCTCAATGTAAATCCAGAGCAAATAATTTAAATAAAAACAGACCTGTCTGTTTTTATTTAAAATATATATATATACCAGGTGCAACAGCAAAATTGTTCATTTGTTAGATTAAGCTTTGAACTGTTGTATCTTAGAAATGATTAAAGATATCTTATTGATTTTTTTTATATCACACTATTGGACTCTATTTTGAGCAATAAGAATTTATAGTTATTCTCCAAGCTTAACAGAAGAATTGTGATGAAATTGATCATAAATGAAAATGACATGTGCTTCATTAATTAATCATAGCTAAGGATCATAAAGCTCATGAAGGATTGAAATAAAGTATAATAAATGTAATATATATATTATTCCAGGATCATTTTCCAACTTATTCAAGATGATCTTCACCCTCTCTAACCTTTTAACTTTCTGTCCTGGAGTAACAAGGTACTTCACTGATTTCATGTATGATTTCATTTTCATGTCTTTTTCTGCTGCTCATTGGACTGTCATAGCTGAAACTCCTCTCTCACATGCCAAATGTCTTTTGGAGTTGGATCTTTTCTAATTGATCACTTTAGCTCTAAGTTGAAATGATGATCCCTCTTCCTGTTGTGACCTCCTGATCCAGTTCTCCTCTCTACTGTTCCCTCTTAAACTTATTCCCCATTGTCTTGATGGTTCTTGAATGAACTTTGAAGATGGAAGCTAGAGTATGAATGTTGGTATTATTACTGAAGGCCTGAATAATCTTTTTCCTCTCACCATTGCTCAGTAGAGAAGACAGTGGGTCTGACACAAAATGATTTTAACCTGTTCTCTTTCTAGCTGAATAACTCAAAGGGTTTTTTTTCAGTAATTCTTATGACAAATGGTGTCAAGATGGCTAAACGTCTTTTCTGAAAACCTGGAAAAAGAAACTCGATTATTTTTTTTTTTTCAGATATTAAACATTTTGTGGGTTGGACAATTATGCTGTTACACCCAGTGTGTGTGTGTATATATATATATATATATGATGGACTCTTCCATTGTTTTTGACGTACGAGTGTCTTTCAGTTCAGTTTTTAATCCTGTACCTGTCCCTGTTGCCTTAACTCTCTCGCCAGTGGACTTGTTGCTCAGGTGGAATAACAAAGAAGAAACACAGAACTGAACTGCATACTATCCAAACAAAAGATTTCTTTTGAGTGGTGAAGGCTTGTGTAGAACCAGCCACACTTATTGGAAGTGCTGATAACAAGGAGTTGGTGCAAATATTTGCCACGAACACAATGAAGAACACGGAGTTATACCTCTCTGGTACTACCATTGCAAAGAAGAGTGCAGCATCTTTCAATGGTCATTTCATGTGATTTAGCCTGACTGCTGAAGTGGTTTACAGGGTGTAGCATGTTGAGATGTAGGGGATGGGATGTGGATAATTTCTCATACATATATACATATATCTTACTTATTATAAAACGCAGATTGTGTGTGTGTGTCTGTACGTTTATATATTGGATCGGATTTCCTACATTTTTCAACCGATTTCAACAAAACTTCACAGGACTAGGCAAAATTATCTTGCGGTGGTTCTAACAGTGCCAAAAATTGGAAAAACACAATTGTTTTTGCACAAAATCAATTTGAAAACACGATTAATCGCGAGAATGAAAGGGGGACAACTCGTATCGATTTATACTTATAAAAGCCAGGTTGTTTTTGTGTCTGTGTGTTCATTTATATCTGGGATTGGATTTCCTATATTTTTCAACCAATTTCAACAAAACTTCACTTTTTTTTTTAGCAGGTAGTGTTTCTTATTGTCTTGCACACTTTTTTCTTTATTTTTACATTCAGAATGCTTCAAAAATTTTATTTACAAGACAATTGTTTATAAAAAAAAATTCTATTCAGTCGGTAGACTCATAACGATTGAAAACAATGTTTTTGTTTGATTTTGGGTTTGACCAATTCGTAAAAAAACTAAAAAAAAACTAATTAAGACATGCATGTCCATCAACCTTAAACAATCATTTTTGTCAATTTTATTTTTCAATCTTTATGGTGGTCGATACTTGATCTATCTCTTACTGTTACATCCCCGGGCAACGCCGGGCTCTAGTGGTAGTATATATATATATATATATATATAGATATTATATTTGTCTCTCTATGTCCCCAGGTATTCACACATGCTGCTGCTTTGGTTGCAAAATATATTATTATTATTTACCTGAACAAAGACTAAACATGAAGAAATCAATGCCAACCCACCTGCGAAATGGTTTGATTGATACCAGCTGCTCTTTTTAAAGTGGGGACGAGCACACAGAATAAAACCAACTGATGTTCATATTATCAGACAGCTTTCCAGACCTTCAATCAACTGACCAACAAAGTGTGTGGCCAAATGGTTAGAACATTAACCTTATGACCATGAGACCCATATTTGAATCTCACAATGATCGATTTGTCAAGGGGCTTTCTTGATAATATCCGACTGGGAAAATGTGGAACCATTGGAAAACATACCACAGGTTGACCTAAACATTATTAGTGAAATTGAGTAGTTCATCTACCTAATTTGGTAAAGCTCCATGGCATGTTGCCTCTTCTACTCCAACAGCTTCTTCTCTCACACTTCCCAACAGTGAAACTCCTTTCCTCTTACTTGCTTTCCTGATAACTATAATCTTCAAAAATGTAAATATAATGTCAATTGACATCTTCTAATGCCTTGATCCCCGTTCTTCTTTTTATCCTTTCCTCAATCTACCCCCTCCCCAGTCTTTTCTCTTAATTACACTTTTTTTAGCCCCTTGCATAATAGTGGCACTCAAGCAGTTCACCCCAAGCAAGGCATAAAAATAGAGAAAAAGAAAGTAGAATTTTACCTCAAAATTAACCAGGAAGTATGAAGTGAGGGTAGAGTTAGTAGACAATTTATTCTGACCTGCTTCCAAAGAGCTAGGGAGACGATATAGATCAGGCAGAGACAATACACACAAGGAATAAATTTCAATTTACAGACTCATACAAAGAAATGGGTGTGTGTTACAGGTGTGAATATATAGTAAGGTGTGGCACCAAAGGTTCATTGGAATAGCAAAAGATGCTTTCCAAAAGATAAAGAAAGTATTAAGAAACAGGAAAATGTTTGTAGAATTTAGAGAAACATACAGTACTCGACTGTATTGAAAGTTCATTCTGCTCTGAATGCCTGTTTGGACAAGTTGGTGAGTGGTTTATATAAGAGGCTGGGATGTTCCATTCTGCTATTTGGGCAAGTCTATTCTCCAGGTTCTGATTGGCTGTTGACTTTGGTGTGGATACATATCCATCATACGGCCATATGTATGTTTGAGGTCTGTATTTACTTAAAACCAGATTTCTTTTTGTCTGCCAACTGGATATTGGTTGGGGACTTCCCTGTGAGGGTGAATATCACATTTAGGATTCTCCAATGTCATCAGAAACCAGAGTGCTCGACTATTATTTAATATCAGTCCACCAATAAAGGAGGGAGTGATAGAAAATCTCTTCAAAGATGAAGAATAGAGTTGAGGCAACAGAAATGCAATTCTACAGAAGGGTGCTAAGAATAACATGAACTGAGCATGTGAATAATGGGGAAGTGTAATTTTTGTAACTGAATAGTTTCAGCATTAAATGACCCATAAGGTCTTGATATGCCATTAAGTAAACTAAATTGACCAACTTCCAGTTGAAAGCTTGAGAATGAAGAAAAACAATAAAGTGTTTACTTACTGTGTTTTTGCATTCAAAAACGTTTGCTGGGCAATATTTGCCATTGTGGAAACGAGCTGTGCAATTGAGTTCATCAGAAACATCTTGACAATCCCGGTGGCCATCACAGACAGCACTTTGGTGGACACAATATCCATTATTGCATCGGAACTTGCCCACAGGACAAGTGATTTGGCCTAGACAAGCAAATCAAGGGAATAGATTTAGAAAAAATGCGCAGATGCACACACACACACACACAAAAATCCATTTCTGATAGAGGTGAATATTAGATTTGTCTTCAGCCCAGAAAAAACACATTTTCTGTTTATTCACTCTAAATAATGTAAAGTTAGTTACTGCAAATATAATTCCCCCAACCCTAACAAATTATGAATTTTAAATCAAAGTCTGAGTAAATGGATGGCAGAACAGGGCTTAGGAGAAACAACAAAAAGACAATGTTTATTAAGAGCTACAAGGGAGAGGAAGTTGTAGAGAGCCATGATCGCCTATGATGAGATAGAGGACAGGACAAATAAAGATTGGTGGCAAGGTCTATCATTTTACGGTAGATTTAGTAATATTGTAACTGTAAGTTCTGAGCTAACAGTTTCTTCTATCATACTTCTCGCTTGTGGAACTCTCCTCCATCTTCTTGTTACGATCTTCAAAAATTTCAATGCAATGTCAATTGTTATCTTCTGTCTTCTTAATTCCTCTTCTTTTATTGTCCTTTCCCCTCACTAAAGTCTTCTAATTCTCTTTCACTCTTCTTACTTTCCAGTCAACTTTGATCTTCAAAAATTTCAATGCAATGTCAATCGTTATCTTCTTAATTCCTCTTCTTTTATTGTCCTTTCCCCTCACTAAAGTCTTCTAATTCTCTTTCCTCTTCTTACTTTCCAGTCAACTTTGATCTTCAAAAATTTCAATGCAATGTCAATCGTTATCTTCTTAATTCCTCTTCTTTTATTGTCCTTTCCCTCACTAAAGTCTTCTAATTCTCTTTCACTCTTCTTACTTTCCAGTCAACTTTGATCTTCAAAAATTTCAATGAAATGTCAATTGTTATCTTCTTAATTCCTCTTCTTTTATTGTCCTTTCCCCTCACTAAAGTCTTCTAATTCTCTTTCACTCTTCTTACTTTCCAGTCAACTTTGATCTTCAAAAATTTCAATGCAATGTCAATCGTTATCTTCTTAATTCCTCTTCTTTTATTGTCCTTTCCCTCACTAAAGTCTTCTAATTCTCTTTCACTCTTCTTACTTTCCAGTCAACTTTGATCTTCAAAATTTCAATGCAATGTCAATCGTTATCTTCTTAATTCCTCTTCTTTTATTGTCCTTTCCCCTCACTAAAGTCTTCTAATTCTCTTTCACTCTTCTTACTTTCCAGTCAACTTTGATCTTCAAAAATTTCAATGCAATGTCAATCGTTATCTTCTTAATTCCTCTTCTTTTATTGTCCTTTCCCTTCACTAAAGTCTTCTAATTCTCTTTCACTCTTCTTACTTTCCAGTCAACTTTGATCTTCAAAATTTCAATGCAATGTCAATCGTTATCTTCTTAATTCCTCTTCTTTTATTGTCCTTTCCCTCACTAAAGTCTTCTAATTCTCTTTCACTCTTCTTACTTTCCAGTCAACTTTGATCTTCAAAATTTCAATGCAATGTCAATTGTTATCTTCTTAATTCCTCTTCTTTTATTGTCCTTTCCCCTCACTAAAGTCTTCTAATTCTCTTTCACTCTTCTTACTTTCCAGTCAACTTTGATCTTCAAAAATTTCAATGCAATGTCAATCGTTATCTTCTTAATTCCTCTTCTTTTATTGTCCTTTCCCCTCACTAAAGTCTTCTAATTCTCTTTCACTCTTCTTACTTTCCACTCAACTTTGATCTTCAAAAATTTCAATGCAATGTCAATTGTTATCTTCTGTCTTCTTAATTCCTCTTCTTTTATTGTCCTTTCCCCTCACTAAAGTCTTCTAATTCTCTTTCACTCTTCTTACTTTCCAGTCAACTTTGATCTTCAAAAATTTCAATGCAATGTCAATCGCCATCTTCTGTCTTCTTAATTCTTCTTCTTTTATTGTCCTCACTCCCTAATGGTGTTTCTTTTTCTCATATTCTTTCACATTTAGTAACCCTGTGTGTCTTAGAGGCTATATTGCCTTTCATCAGGTGAAATGCTTTAATATAATACTATCTCACTTTAAACAGTTTCAATTAATTAATAAAGTATTCTGGTAATGACTGGCATGACAGTTACATGCCATGATCTATGAGTCATTACAATTAATATATAATCGGACAATATCAATTTATCACCTGTTATTAATAATACTGAATCAATGATGTATGTAATGATATACTTTGAAAATATATATATATATATATGCATATATATATATATATATATATATATATATATATATATATATATATATATATATATATATATATATATATATATATATATATATATATATATATATATATATATATATATATATATATATATATGCATATATATATATATATATATATATATATATATATATATATATATATATATATATATATATATATATATATATATATATATATATATATATATATATATATATATATATATATATATATATATATATATATATATATATATATATATATATATTACGATACGTGCAATCAATTTAAATTCATGAATTATTCACACAAAAACAAAAGCAAAGGTTAATGATTTAATTGGCGAAATCTATCATCATAAACAATTCAAATAATATACAAAAACCTTCGAATCCGTTATGAATGCATTGATCCTTGTTTCCATAAATTTCTGCCATATTAGTTCTTATTTTTACTACAAGCTTTCAGACATCTTCAGGTATAGAATAGATGTTGTTCTTGTTTTTTCTCTTAGTAATAAAAGGACAACAAAAATATATGTATTGTTGTATCCGAAAATGCTATTGAAAATGAGTTATTGTTTTTGGAGCGCGCCAAAATTATTATTGAACAATATAGTTCATGCCACTTTGACAGAAAATTTACCAGTAAAAAAAATTTGTTCATCACCATATTTATATGAACGCACAACCTTTAAAAATTTAAAATCAAACTCAGCGTTGCTACTGCGCGCTCCAAAAACAATAACTCATTTTCAATAGCATTTTCGGATACAACAATACATATATTTTCGTTGTCCTCTTATTACTAAGAGAAAAAACAAGAACAACATCTATTCTATACCTGAAGATGTCTGTAGGAACAGACGAAAGCTTGTAGTAAAAATAAGAACTAATACGGCAGAAATTTATGGAAACAAGGATCAATTCATTCATAACGGATTCGGAGGTTTTTGTATATTATTTGAATTGTTTGCGATGATGGATTTCTCGCCAATTAAATCATTAACCTTTGCTTTTGTTTTTATGTGAATAATTCATATATATATATATATATATAGAGAGAGAAATAATAAAATAAATAATAAAAAAAATTAATAAAAATTAAAAATGAGGTGAAATTAGTTAAATTTAATTTCTATGTGATACAAATGGCTTGATGCAAAAAAAAAAAAAAATGGCATGATCCAATAAAAGACATGGCGTTATGCCAAAAGACATGGTATTATGAAAAAAAAAACATGAGGAAATGAAATATGATCTAAGGCAATGACACATTGCCTGATGGCAAAAATCATATCATGATGAAAACGTATGATGCATTGAAATATGACATGATGCCAAAAAATATAGTATGATGAAAACACATGATACATTGAAACATTGGCTGATACAATGACATATGACTTTATGACAAAAGACATGGCATGGTGAAAAGAGACATGACCTGATGCCAAAAAACATGGTATAATGAAAAGGCATATGATACATGAAACATATGCTGATGCTCTGACTACTTAATCAAAAACACATGACATGACACAGACACATAATGAGGTTTAAAGATGCATGGCATGATGCAAGGACACATCACAAAGATCACAGCATAAATTGTTTGAAATGTTTAAACAAGAAATTTACCACAGTTTATTTCATCACTCTCATCTCCACAGTCATTGTCATAGTCGCAACGCCATTTACCCTGGATGCATTTCTTGTTTCTGCATTGAAATTCTGATTCGGAACAGGAACGGTATTTATTCTCTGCAAAAGAGAAACCCCAAAATATCTGAAGAATTATAATCTTTTCTTTGAGGAAACAGTTTTATTAATAATAAGTTTACCGTCATCTTTTTTTGTGATTTCTTATTGTATTTACTTTTATGTATAACTCGCTTAAAAGCCACCTTATTGAGTGGCATTTAAGCTAGCTCCTGCGGAGGGATCTTGATTGGGCCTTCATCACAACAGCTAGAACAGAGTAGATGCAATAGGCAACAATAAACTACAGAAAAACTCAAAATCAATTGCTGCATTTAAGTATTGCATTAATATCTAAACTCGTCTTAAAAGTTCAATGATAATTCTTCTGCCGCCACTTAATTTAAAGACAACTTTATGTACATAAGTCCTTACTTTTCATACAAACAATTATTCTGAGAATGGACAGGGAAAGCTAGACTGTGCACCTCCCCCCCATCTACACATCATCTCTACTTTGCTCGCTAATAGCAGTAGGTTACAACGAAAGAATAAAATCTGGTTTACCGCTAGAAATTTTTTTTTTTTTTTTTACTCATGGGTAATGATCTGCCTGAGGGGTTATTTCTAAGCCACAAAATTTTGATTGGAAGAAACTGCACCCTGAGAATGAACCTGGTGTCTGGTCTGAGCTGCAATGCAACATAGACCAATTTAAAGACGGCTGACTATTTCTGCCACTGGCAAGAGGTGAAACTGATCTTGAGTGGCTGCAAGTGAGTAAAACAAACATGAAGACCTTTGGAGGCATTCTGTTTGCTCTTTTACAGAGAAACCAATTTAATAAGTTTGTGTGAATGGATAGCAGAGTACAAAGAAAAATGAATCGACATGCCACATAAAAAAGATGTGAAAGAGGATTATGAAATAGTGACTTACGGCAAAGTGAAAGTTTTTCATCTGAGCCATCTTTACAATCATTGTCAAAATCGCACACCCAACGCTTGGGGATGCAACGGTTGTTGTCACACTGGAATTGCTGGTCGGGATTACAGGTTCCACAGTTCTCGCTTGCTTCATCTGAATTATCCCGGCAGTCATCTTCTCCATCGCACAGATAGGAACGAGGAACACACTTGTAGTTTGTTGCACATTTGAACCAGTTCAGAGGACAAGTTTTATTGGCTGAAATATATTTAGAAAAAATAATACATTGAGTGAAATTTATAAATTGATCTTTTTAATTATTTCACCCCAAGTAAGGTAATAAATCCACTAAAATTCAAGGGTTTACTGAGTGTTAGAGAATATGAGAAAAAAAAAAAACACTATTAAAGAGCGAGAACAATAAAAGAAGAAGACAGAAGATAATGATTGACATTGCATTGAAATTTTTGAAGATCAAAGTTGACTGGCAAGTAAGAAGAGTGAAAGAGAATTAGAAGACTTTAATGAGGGGAAAGGACAATAAAAGAAGAGGAATTAAGAAGACAGTAGATAACCATTGACATTACATTGAAATTTTTGAAGATCAAAGTTGATTGAGTAGCAAGAAGCCAGAAGTGATTTCCACAAGCTAGAAGTGTGAGAGAAAAAAACTTTTAGCATAGAACTTATGTCATTTCTTTTGATGCTGATTTCTGGCGTGTTCAAGATTGAAACTTTTCATTGTTCAGTTGAGAGTTAGACTTTGTTGAGTGTTGTTGTTTTGTCCACAAATGAACAACTTAAAGATGGAGGGCAAAAAGTTACACTTTCACTATATCATGCTCTATGAATTTTGAAATGGAGTAAGCATTAATCAGAACTGTGACAAAAGCATTCAGTAGATTTGGATTGTACTCCAGCTGTTTGGATGGTTAAAAAGTGGCTTGGCAGATTTCATCAGGGGGATTTTAACATGAAAGATTTTATAGAAAAGGCACAGGGAAGCTGTGACGGATGACATGATTTACCTCAGAATTTGAAACGAGCGCGAACGTGTCTTGCCTGCAAAGTGATGATAAAAAGAAATATGGCCACTATTGAAGATGCAATTTATGCGCGCCTATCTCATCCAAAACAAGATGATATTGGCACATGCAGGACACATGCAAATTTTGGTTGTATCAGAATAGCATAAAAAGTGGGGTGCCAGCAGCACGACAGAACTGAAGTCATTCGTCAGACAGCGTGCAATAGAGTTGAACGTATAGATTGACAGACGGACAAATAGGAAGTCGAAGTAGGCGCGGCTGAGCTGGTGACTGCCCAGTGTAATGGCTAAGAAAGGGAGCCATGCAATTCATTTCTTTGAGGCGATCGAAGAAGAAGAAAAATAGCTGGCCTGCCAGCGAGCACTGCACTGCACACTTTTGACCCCCCAATCACCATTTTTTTTCCTATGTTTTTCCTTCTTTTTTTTCTATGTTACAGTGGTGGAAAAGGGACTGAAGATGAAATGCTAGCAACACTTAGGGTTGAACTTCTGACAGCGATGAAGGTACCCTACTTAGCCATTATGGAGAATAAACCAAAGATTTTGACAGAAGAGATTGATAAGGCTTTGAAAATTAATATCCCAACTGCTTTTCACCATTGGAGGAGATTTGTGTTCTTGGTCTGATTTTGGCTAATTGAAAAAGTGTAATTTTCCATCACATCAATGCAAGACTGCATGTTGCAAAACGGACCTTTGTTGCATCCTTAAAAGAGGTTACAAACAGACAAAGGTTGTACTTGAGTGAAAGGAACAGCAAAACGGGCGTAGATGGAAGAAAGAGAGGTTTATTGTAAAAGAGAATACACTACTGAAAGACAGGGAATCAGCGGGCTAGCAAGTCCCAAAGCAAGTCTGCCGGGTATATCCTGTTCACACTATATATATCTACCGATATAGTCAGTCCACATATGCAATAAGAAGCGTGGGACATTCCATTACAACAACCTTGCAGCAGCTTAAAGATTTGAAATGGGAAACTGGCCAACGCCCACTAACTTGGCTCTTTTGGATTTTCATTTCTTCCGCTCTCTATAGAACAATTTCAATGACAAAAAATTTGACTCTGTAGAATCAGTTGAAAACTACCTCCCAAACTTCTCCAAACAAAAAACACACAGTTTCTACGAAAATGGTATCAACAAGCTTGTAGAATGGTGGGAGACAGTTGTTAAAACAATTATTATTATTACCATATTTACTTACCACAATTCAAGTCAGGACTTTCATCCGAACCATCCACACAGTCTTGATCATAATCACATTTCCACATGATTGAAATGCAGGCACCATTAGCACAAGTAAATTGCGAAGGTTTACATGTTGTATTATCTGAAAAATAAAAATGTCAATTGTCATCTTGCTACCCATCAATCCATTAATGATTCTATGAGAAAAAATAATTTGTTTAGGACATTCAATAATGATAATAATAATAAATTCAAGTGTCAAATCCAAAATTATTGTTTTTTTATATAAATTTAACATGGATCCTAAGCTGTGTGACTTGGACTTCAGGTGAGGCGTCATATTGAGCGAGCTGGACACCAGGTGAGGCATCATATTGAGCGAGCTGGACACCAGGTGAGGCGTCTGTGGGGAAAATTGTGAAAATGGCCTATCTCGGAAACGCGAATCTATGCGATGTGCAAACTCCGGTTTGCTCAACGATAAAAAGAACCAAAATGGTGGCGCCCATGTTTTATGCCAGGCAGTCTCAAACAGTTAACGCGAAATCTCGTTGTCTCGTCTTCACATGCAAATCCTGGTCGGTCCTTGGCTGTATAAAGTAGGCGCATTTTTGTTTCTGAGGATGGTGTTTTTTGCTTGTGAGAAGGTTGTACGTGTGACACTATTTTGTCAGTTACCCTCCTCGCATTTCCTATCTGCATGGAACCAGTTCGATTTAAAATTGATCCCAGAATTCGACAGCTCCCCCACGGGCCTGACTGTCGCCAAATGGTTTGAGAAGGCTGAACGTGTTTGCAGGGTGTCCAAAATAAAAGAACCTGCACTGGTCATCCCACTGAGACTCACGAGGGGAGCCTACACCATATATCAACAACTCGGGGACGATGCTGACCTAGAGGAGATCAAGAGTGCTGTGACACTATTTAGCGGTCGCGTGAAAATGAAAAGTGAGAAATAATTAAAGCGAGAAGAAGCTGAAATAATTAAGGCGATAAGAAATTGACCGAGAAAGACATCAGCTGAGGACCACCCCAAAGGAAAGGAAGGGAAAAGAGAAAGGAAAGGAATAAACCATTAACTATCCTTCGGAGATATCATTTGGTTTTGGGAAAAAAACCTGTTTTATGTTCAGACTTATCCATGAAAAGAGTTTGTTGCCTGGACAGACTGTGGCGACAGAAGCACGTAGGAGACAAAGAGATTCACTGATCAAGCCCGATGATTATCTGGTGGAAATCTCGATTGATAAAGTCCAGGTGACATTCGGTTAAGATAGATATTAGGGACCACACTACGAGTCATGGGAGGTCTGCTCGGGGAAGAGAAGGAAAGAAAGAAAAAAAAAAAGGAAGATAATTTTTTTTTTTTTCCTTTGAGTGAAATTTTTAAACTGAGGCCGGTCTGGCCACACCCACGCTGCTGGGCGTTCATTGGCTGAAGAGTGGCGTGAGCGGTAGGCAAAGGTAAACTATGAGAAAGGAGGGGAGGCCTGTTGACACCTCTGAGGGGATTGGTGTGAGATACCAATATGAGAAAGGAAGAATTTGGGAGGACGATTCCCTTAAAGTAGAAAGTAATGGACTTCCAAAAATGAAAAGTAATAAATTTTCCTGTCCAAAAACAAAAAAAATCCTTATTGTAGATTTAAAATTATCAAGGCACCTCAAACCCCGACAGGCCCACCCCAGTTTTGGTTGGCATCCATATAAGCAGTAACACAGGAGTTGGAGAGAGAGACGCAGAGTTAAGTTGTGAATTCTGAGACCCGCCTCGCAGGAAGCTGACTGAAGATCCACGCATCTCGACTTCGACTTCTAACCAAGAACAATTTATTTTTGAAGAACGAGTTAGACTCACACCACCAAAACAAGTGTTACGAATATCGCCTGAAGACACCAAAAACCAGTTTCTTGAAAAAACAACTTAAGATGTTAAGACTTGCCTAACAAACACAAGGTGTCACGAATCCATATTAGCGGTTTGGGAGAAAGATGCAGTCCTGTATTCAGCAACCAGATATAAAAATATTTGTTATTCTTTTTTTAACACATTTGAACTTTTTGAGTTGTTACTTTATTTTCTTTTACATATACTTGTGCAGTGTTACCTTTGCTCAGACTCAGCTTGCATTGTGGCCCGGCGACTGATTGATTTCATCTACCTAAGATCAAATCACAACGTGGGTAGGTGAGACTAGAAATCAAAGCAGTTACTTCGGTAACCAGACGTTGGAGGCAACCTGAGAACGACAAAGCTGGTACCGAATCTAACCAGATGCCCATCCGAATCAACAAAGGGTTAGAACGTCACATTTGGTGCCGCAACCAATACCAAGTCACATTGGTCATCGCAGGACAGGACAGGACGCAGACGGGGCAGAGAGGCAGACGGGGTGACGTCACAGTGCCCTATATACGGCCTTTGGAATAGACCACTTAATCGCTTGGAAACAGTTCATCGGACGATGGCTCGAGCCGGGTAAGATGGCCAATTTGCAAAGGCTGGCGGTGCTGTTTGGCAGGGCAATGGACCGCATACTGGGATGTGCCTTCCTGGCAGGACTCCTCGCCGACACCAGTCGGCTCCTGCGAGCGTCTTCAAGATTGGACACACTGGGAATTGACGAATTGCTTGCCAGGGCCCAAAACATCTTGAAAGACACAGAACAGGTTGCGGCAGCAGTGAGAACACCTGAGACACCTCGGGAGGCATTGCCTGTTGTCAATGTGACACTGGATGTTCCTGATCGACACTGGATGTTCCTGATCGATCATCACTGCGGATCGATATGTGACATGGAGCAGTCAACAAATTGAGATTCGGACGATTGACGGAGTGTCCCGGGCCTGTTGTGGTGTCGGGACTGTGTCAAATCCTCACAATCATGCCAAGGTTGACAATTTGGTGGCATGTCAAAGGCCCCTCGATCCGAGCGTTAGGAGGCATGATAATCACACCAGCTGGAAATGTGGAACTGGGTAAAGGAAGAAAGGTGTGTGCAGCCCTTTGCATTAGTGAGCTGGATTTCGACGTCTCCTTCAATTCTGACGAGAGGGTGTGGACCGCCAGGTGGAAATGGGCCCAAAAAGACCCACCAGTTCAGCTTCACAACAAGGTCACAAAGTACAAAGTTCCCGACAGCATCAGAGGAAAATACACGAAAGAGCTTCAACAGTGAATTGTGAATGGCTGGTTGATTCCATACCCCCAGGAAAGACTGGGACCCTCAAAGGGTCTGATTCCCTTGATGGCAGTCGTGCAGGAGCAGAAACAGAAGGTACGTCTGGTACTCGATTACCGCGAATTGAACGACTTTGTGGATGCTTTTACTGCCAATGCAGAAGTGTGCGCACAGAAGCTGAGAACGTGGCGGCGGCAGGGGGTCAATGTGTCGCGTCTGGATCTGCAAAATGCATATCTTCAGATTCACATTGACGAAGCGCTGTGGCCATTTCAAACAGTTATTTTCAAAGGCCAATGCTTCTGTCTTACACGGCTAGGATTTGGGCTAAATGTGGCACCACTCGTTATAGACGCCATCACATCGCAAGACCGCACAATTGAAAGTGCCACATCAGCATACGTTGATGACATCTTCATTAATGAAAGTCTGGTCTCTGCATCGTGTGTACGACAACACTTTTCGGATTACGGTTTGGTGTGTAAGGATCCGGTGCGACCGAGAGATGGAGCAAGAGTTCTTGGCTTGCAAGTCTGGGAAGAGAATGGCACCCTCCAATGGAAACGAGGAAGTCAGATTCCAGAAATCCCTGATGTGTTAACCTGTTGGCGTGTATTTCCGTTGTGTGGGAAACTTGTTGGACATTTCCCAGTGTGTGGATGGCTTATGGTGGCAGTTGCATTCGTCAAGCGCCTGGCAACCGCAGCAACCAATGTATGGGATGATAACATCAAAGATCCCTCTCTGTCGCATACTAGCGGAGATGTTAAGTAGAATACGGGAACTGGATCCCGTTGGAGGAGACTGGTGCATAGGTGGTGACAAGATCACAGTCTGGGTGGATGCGAGTTCCATGGCGACAGGAAGTGAACGGAAATGTCATCGAAGATGTGTGTTGGGTGCATCCTACTAATGATGCCAGGCATATTAATTTAGCTGAACTCGATGCGGCACTTAAAGGAGTCAATCTAGCCCTCCAGTAGGAGGCGACAACATTGCACTTGGTTACTGATTCGGTGTGTGTGCACCGGTGGATTTCCAACACCTTGACCGGGAAAGGCATGGGTGAACACAAGGGCGGCTGGTGAGATGCTGGTTAGGCAACGGCTGGGCATTATGTGATCGCTGGTAGAAGCATATGGATTGAACATAGATGTGACACTTGTACAGTCCTGTCAGAACCATGCGGATCGCCTCACCAGAAGGTTGGATGTGTGACACTATTTTGTCGGTTACCCTCCTCGCGTTTCTTATCTGCTACTATCAGTTGAGTTGTTGCTTTACCACCACATATTGAGCAAGCTGGACACCAGATGACGTGTCATATCGAGCGAGCTGGACACCAAGTGACGTGTCATATCGAGCGAGCTGGACACCAGGTGACGTGTCATATCGAGCGAGCTGGACACCAGGTGACGTGTCATATCGGGCGAGCTGGACACCAGGTTATACATATCAGCTCTCAATACTCGACCATCATAACCTGCCTCATATAAACTCTGCCATGAGATATGACGACATTGCTGCAAATATAGCAGGAAGTCACGCAAACAGTAAAAGAGCTGATATTTACAGGGAGGTTTTGAGCATGTTGAATAATAAATGTTTAAATTGAATATCATTCAGTTATATTTTAAATAAACTGGCAAAGTTAATGGACAAACAATGAATAAATATTTAATTATATTCAATGCTTTTTGTTTAATAAAAGATGTTTTATTTTAATAAATTTTATAATTTCATTGGCATCACTGATTAATGTTATTTTCACATAATACACATGTATATTTAAATAGTAACAAAAAATTAAATTGTGATGAGTATTGTACATTACTGTTGTTATTTTGATAGAATACATGGGCAATTATGAGTATTCCTGTTCATATTGATTTGCCATAAACAGGCAAACTTAAATGGTTTAATGGATATCATTTCTAGTTTAACTAAAGGCAGTGGCAACCAGAATTTTCACATGATGGGTTGTTATTGTTTGCAGAGGTCAAAACAAAATGGAAAGAGTCAAGGGAATGAATTTCAGCACAGAGATATTTTCTTGTATTTTTTATACAAGCTAATAAAGAATTAACAAAAAGAATACCCCAATGAGTGGATGGCTGGCAAATTGTATCCGCATATGCTAGTCTACTAGCGTGGCTAGCTAATCCCTGTTGCAGACGCCTGCTCAGGCATAATTGTATTTGTTCAACACCCATAGAGCCCAACTCTGGGTTATACTGCAACTATGTTACAGTTTCTGGAAGAGAGTGCATTATCTAGTGGGATCAACAGTCTGAAAAAGGCCAGCACACTCAAACCCTCAGTCATGATGACTGGCGTTATTTTCATATAATACATGGGCAATGAATATTGATGATAATCTTTATCAAAGTCATTTATTGGATATTATTTTTTAGAAAAAAATACAAGATCAAAGTTGAAGAGTCATTGTTGGTTTCTATTGCTTTAATTAGTCAAAGTACTTAAATGGTGTGGTGGATACCATTTCTAGCTTAACTAAAGGCAGTAGCAACCAGAATTTTCTCATGTCCATATTTATAGGGCCAGTTTGAGTGTGTTGAATGCCAAGAGGATAATACACAGTCAAAATTTAAAGTTCAGGATTAAATAAATATTAGTTTTTGTGTTCTTTATGTCTGTAAGTTTATTCTTTTTTCCTTTTTTTTTTTTTTTTTACAAAATCTTTAACTTTACCAAAAATTCTTTACAAGTCAAAAACAAAAACAAATTTGAAGTGATTGATAGGCAGCTCGTCAAGTGGACACCAAGACATTTGTTTGCTTTACATATTCTCAATAAAAAAAAAAAAGAGAAATTTTCAGGCAAAGAAGTTTCTTTGGATTATGCTTCAGCTCTTTTGGTGGTCAAAAAATGTTTTGGCAGATTTTGTCAGGGTGATTTTAACCTAAACGATCAACCATGCTCCAGATAAATTTCCAACATCGATGAAGACGCTCTGCTTGCCATCATGGAGAATAAACCAAAGATTTCACTGGAAAGGATTGCTAAGAGGTCAAAAATCGATCTCAACTGTTCAATTAAGTGTTGGGGTTTGAAAATACCAAAGATTCTTTATGAGTCAAAAACAAAAACAAATTTGAAGTGATTGATACACAGCTCATCAAGTTGGCACCAAGGCATTAGTTTGCTTTACATATTCTCAATTCAAAGAGAAACTGTCAGGCACATCACTGGTGACATTATATAAAACAAAGAAGCTTATGTATTACTTTGGAACTAGACTGACTGTGTTGTTGAATGGGGAACAACATGTATACAATTTGTTGGGTGGCTTTGCCTTGTGTCAAATTGGGCTAAGCTTAATAAGTAAGTCATCCCAGCTTGGCATTGTGTGTAATAAGCTGGTCTCATTGATCATTATTATTGAGTAGGGATTTTGATCCTCACTAAGTGCTTCATGCTTGTAACCTAATATAAAACTAAGCTAAGCTTAACAAGACAGGTGCCTCACCTAGGTGTTATGGTTAACGAGCTAGTCTGGTTGGACATTAATACTGTGTAGGGATTTCAGTCCTCCTGTTGTATTCCCCCACCCATATTCTGGGGGTGTTCTGTCCTGTCTTGTCACTGTGCCAATTAATACAATGTTGTATATCTTCTCGTTCTTGTCTTCTCCCAGCTAGGTGTCAAAATAGTTTTGGTTTCAGAATTAACAGAGAGAACTTCAACAAAGGAATTTTAACTTATTACTTTATTAAACATGTCAACGTGTACATTTTTAACTAGCCAGTCGGGTTGCTATCCTACCCAACTGGGGAGCAGTCTGTAGACATGATTTTAACATGTCTACATTATTCGATGTGCAAAACTTAACTTCCTGAAATCCCTTTCTATCTAACATTTCCATGCTAGTTTCAGCCAATCAGATTCAACTTCCTTTTTTTCCCCATATCTGACCCCAAAGGTCAAAATGAGGAAGTCAAAGCAGAAATACAATTCTATAAATAATAATAGTCTGTTTAAATATTATTTAACACTCTCTGGGTACCTCATCTTTGTGATTTTATGTGAAACTAAGCTTAGTTTAGGAAAAGGATTGCCTCAACTAGGGGTTATGGTTAACAAGTTAGTCTGATTAAAGACTACTGCTGAGTAGGAATTTCGATCTTCACCGAGTACGTCATGTGAAAAGGCGAGAACAATTCTTACTTAATCAAAGAACTTGATTTCTGATTGAGGTCAATAGGTGACCCCTGGGTGTCAAAAAGTGTGTGTGTGTGTGGGGGGGGCTCTAAGACTTTAACTCACTGTGTCATGTCAATTAAAAAGAGTAATTCTAGGACACAATTTTGTTGCCCACAATGTTTTTAAATGGCGACACAACATCAGCGTCAATTCAACTTACCGCATTGCCCAGGCCCCTCATCAGATTCATCGCCACAGTCGTCTTCTTCATCACACAGCCAGCTTTTTGGAATGCATTTGTTGTTTTTACACTTCCATTGCCAGGGGGGACACTGGCGCTTGTCACAATTTTCTTCATCAGATCCATCCCCGCAGTCATCGTGCAGGTCACACACACGGAAGGAAAATGTACAATTTGTATTCTTACACTGAAATTGTCCAGGAGGACAGCGATGGACAGCTGAAAATCAAAGAATTTGGAAACTCTCAGAATTTGTATGGAGACGTGGCTTGATAGATAAGGGTAGTGCCAAAGCGAATCAAATTATCTGGAGGACATATTCAATCACACAGTCAGCTTACACAGCCATATTACGCTGAAACACCGGTTCTCATATGATCACCAAAGTTAAGCAACTACAAGCCTGGTCAGTCCTTAGATGGGTGACTGATTGGAAATACCAGGTGCAGTAAGCTTGGATGGTTTTACAGCAATATCACATTGAAACACCGGTACCTAAATGATCACCAAAGTTAAGCAACATCAAGCCTGGTCAGTCCTTAGATGGGTCCTTTCAACTATAAAATGATGAGACCTAACTGCCAATCTAGTACTGCTTTTAAAATCAAAGTCGGAGGACGCATATTTTCTATGACAATTTCTTGGACATTCAGGCCGGTAAATGTTGTTAATACTGTTTATTATAAAACAGAGCATTTACTTAAATATTTGTATCTATAAAAAAGAATGTATAAACATAAAAATGTCTTAAAATAAAGATTCTTTATATATGTTAATAACAATAACCAACCAATGCAAAATGTCAAAATGCCAACCCAAATACCAATCCATCCATATGATATGTTACTAACACTACTAGAAGATTGATACAAAATTATATTAAATCTAAATTAATCTTACCAACAGAAAGATAAGCCACACAGTTCAACTAAAATACGAGAAAAAGCAACTGTCAAATTTTAAGTCTAACAGAATTGTGAGGTAAAAGGTAGAATGTGTTTACAATTTACCATTAATTCAGATTTTTGGTTTAGTAAAGCATTCTTATCAAAGAACATGATAATTTGCAATTTTTCTTGTAAGCACAGAAAACAAGCTTCATATAAGGATCTACATTCCATTGCCATTTTTAAAATTTTCCATTTCACCTTAGGGATTTTATTTTTGTCTTTCAAACTCCAAAAATATTTTGAAAGTGATGTATTTCTATAAATGTTTCTATAAGTACTATTAGTAAAGGGCGATATGTGTTGATACCACTGAGTCGAAAGAATTCTTAGTGCTACCAATATAGAACTTTTCAACTGTTTGATTTTCCACTGTAGAGATAGAATAAAGATAAACAAGAGATTTATTTGGCAATGGGCATTGGTCAGAGATCCTACAATTACATTGGCTGGTATCCTTGACAATATTTTCCTTGTAACTTGTATTATGATTCAGATTATTAAATTGGTTTGGAGTTTTATTGTTGTGTAACTTTATGAACTTCTCAAGATTATTGGTGCACCGATCGAAATACAACTGCAATGATGTAGCATTTTTTGACATGTTTTTGATGTCATAACCTATGATAAAGTGTGCACAATATATATATATATATATATATAATCTGGCAGCTTGGTTTCAGTCACTTATCCACCACCGCCAGGTAGCTTCACAGTGTCTTTTCTATAAATACTTTCATGGTAATTATTCAGATGAGTTCTTCACTATGGTTGCTAGATTTCATGAATTTAAGCGTAGTATTAGACTGGTGACAAGGTCTCATCAATTGACAGTTGACTAGATGTAGGTGTAAGTTCTATGCTAACAGTTTCTTTTCTCACACTTCCCGCTTGTTGAACTCCTGTTCAGCTCCATGCTTTCCAGCCAACTTTACTCTGTAAAAATTTAAATACAATGTTAATCGCTATCTACTGTCCTCCTGATTACTCTTTTCTCTTCTCGCTCATTATTAATGTTTCTGTTCCTAATTCTTCCACACCCTGTAACCCCTTCTGTCTTAGTGGCTTTACTCTCTTACTTGTGGAACTCCCTTCTGGCTCCATGCTTTCCAGCCAACTTTAATCTGCAAACATTTAAATGCAATGTCAATCGCTATCTACTGTCCTCCTGATTACTTTTTTCTCTTCCTGCTCATTATTAATGTTTCTGTTCCTAATTCTTCCACACCCTGTAACCCCTTCTGTCTTAGTGGTTTTACTCTCTTACTTGTGGAACTCCTTCTAGCTCCATGCTTTCCAGCCAACTTTAATCTGCAAACATTTAAATGCAATGTCAATCGCTATCTACTGTCCCCCTGATTACTTTTTTCTCTTCCTGCTCATTATTAATGTTTCTGTTCCTAATTCTTCCACACCCTGTAACCCCTTCTGTCTTAGTGGCTTTACTCTCTTACTTGTGGAACTCCCTTCTGGCTCCATGCTTTCCAGCCAACTTTAATCTGCAAACATTTAAATGCAATGTCAATCGCTATCTACTGTCCCCTGATTACTTTTTTTCTCTTCCTGCTCATTATTAATGTTTCTGTTCCTAATTCTTCCACACCCTGTAACCCCTTCTGTCTTAGTGGCTTTACTCTCTTACTTGTGGAACTCCCTTCTGGCTCCATGCTTTCAGCCAACTTTAATCTGCAAACATTTAAATGCAATGTCAATCGCTATCTACTGTCCCCCTGATTACTTTTTTCTCTTCCTGCTCATTATTAATGTTTCTGTTCCTAATTCTTCCACACCCTGTAACCCCTTCTGTCTTAGTGGCTTTACTCTCTTACTTGTGGAACTCCCTTCTGGCTCCATGCTTTCCAGCCAACTTTAATCTGCAAACATTTAAATGCAATGTCAATCGCTATCTACTGTCCTCCTGATTACTTTTTTCTCTTTCTGCTCATCATTAATGTTTCTGTTCCTAATTCTTCCACACCCTGTAACCCCTTCTGTCTTAGTGGCTTTACTGCAAGGCAGGAGGTGATACTGATAAAAAAAAAAAGAAAAAAAAAGGAAGATAAAATTAACTGATACAAAAGATCCTTTAAAATGGACAGTGGAATGTAAACAATCAAACGACATGGATTGAACAAAGAGACTTGGAAGAATTAATTGATATGGGAGATCAAGAGTGATCCGAATAATGAGAACAGTTTTTCTTCATAGATTAAATGAAGGGTTCAGCTTGAAATTTTAAGAACCTTACTTTGATAGATACCTGAAGAAAGACAGATACTATAACACATTGTAGCATGAACAAAACAGACTTGATCCAGATATGGGACTACTAGCCAGATATGGATCTAATCTAGATATGTAATTGTTACCTAGATATGGATCTGATCCAGGTATGGGACTGCTATCCAAATATGGATCTGTTCCACATATGAGACTGCTATTCAGATATAGGACTGCTATTCATATATGGATCTTACCTAGATATGGACCTGATCCGCATATGTGACATTAGAAAGGTATGGATCCGATCCAGATTTGGGACTGCTACCCAGAAATGGACTTGATTCAAACATGGATCCCCATAACCAAATATGAACCTGATCCAGGCATGCATCCCTTATCCAGAAATAGACCTGATCCAAACATGGATCTCCTAACCAGATATGAATGTAATCCAGACATGCATCTCCTACCCAGATATAGATCTGATCCAAATATTTGTTACATGGAGGAAAGACAAATTTTGTTTGTAGATTTCTTAACCTGAATTATGTCTTTAGCAGAAAAAGAAAATTTGGTTTAGCCTCTGACATTTTCCCCAGATGTAAAAAAAGAAAAAAAGAAAGAAAAAAAGAAAGAAAAAAAAAAATGAAAAATGAAAACAGTTTCCTACTTACGACAGTCAAGTTCATCAAGGCCATCTTTGCAGTCTTTTTCTCCGTCGCATTTCCACAAAAGTGGAATGCAGCGGTCATCTGTGATACCGCAACGGAATTGGGAAGAAGAACAATTTGCAATACAAGTACGGTTGTCAGAGCTCAAGAAAAAGTTGCTGGGACAAACACATCTGTATTTAGTTCCTGGTGCCAGAAGGCATAGATGGCTACAACCACCATTATCCATACCACAGGGGTTGGGGTCTGCAAAACAAACAAGAAATACTAAACAAAAATTCAGGTAAGATTAAAAATCACATTACAACAGGAACTTGCTATATCATGTAGCAACACCTATACTACCTTGGTCATTAATGATATTATAGATAAACTACTGCTTGTAGACAACTGTCATTTTTGAAACGATTTCTTATCTGATATAATTTCTAATTATTGTAAACATTATTTTTAGGGGTACACAAATTTGTTTCGTAGGACTTCCCAATTTAGGCTAGTTGTTATTAATTTCACTGTTTAAGAGAAAAAAAGGGATAAGAATTCAAACAGTAATGTCTTGAAATACAAGCATGCTGACATATGGGTTTTTTTTTTTAGTATGAGCCAGAGTTTGGCTGATTTTTTGCCTTGAGATAAAAGTTGAATTTTGAGATGTAATCAAGTTTCAGTTTAGCATCTGCTAGTTGTTGCAGCAAACACCAAGGTTCGAGAGTATTTCCACTCGCAAATCTGGAAGGATCTCTGTTGTGTGTCTTTTGCTGTTATTTTGCAAAATTCCTTTAGTGACACCATGGGTCCAAAGAAAATAAGTGTAAAGAACAGTGGTGAAAAGCCGAAACGTACAATTTTGCTTGAGGCAAAACGGGAAATTATAAAAAAAGCATGAGGAAGACGTACAAGTAATGGATTTGGCGAGAGAGTATGAGCGTTCTACAGTGACAATAAATAAAAAATTATAAACTTTAAAAAATTAAAAAAATTAGTTTCAGTAATGGCTAAAATATAAATGTTTTAATAAATTTTAAAAGTAAGTAGTAAAGTTAATCTTTGGTATCATAGACTAGATTAGTAGTTGCTAGGCGGGGTTAGCGGTTGCTAGGCTAGCTGTTGTTGTTCCTCTCTCTCTCACCTCTGCCTCTCTCTCTCACCTCTGCCTTTTGGCCTTTGACATGTCTGAACTTCATAGTTCAGCACAGTTAATTTCTTTACAATTTGTTTTTTCTCTTTTATTTTATTGTTTGTAAACTACATTTTTTGTTTATTCACATGTTTTTGTTTGTAAGAAACCCACAAATACAAAAATACGGCTGAACTTTTGGAAACAGGGTGATTTTTAGGGGCCTGGAACAGATTGGAAATATTACCATTAATTCCAATGGGGCAAACTGATTTGAGATATGAGTCTTGAGTTATGAGCTTTGTCTTAGAACAAAATAAACTCGTATCTCAAGGCATTACTGTAATTAGAAATAATGTTGAATAAAAGAATCCTTTTCAAAATTATTGCTGTTTATGTTCTGGGTACTGAAGCTAGCAGACATAAATTCATAGTAATCCCAACGAGAAATGTGCTTTTCTTATCAGGCAATTCAAACTTTATCTTGTTGGTCTGACTCCATGGTTGAACTGGTAGAGGAACTTTGACTGAAGAAGTGGTTTCTTTGCGGTAAAAAAAAGGATGCTGGTTCGATTCCTGTCAGAGGCACAATTTTTTTTTTTAAATTAGGTTGTTTGTTATTAATTTCACTGTTTAATAAAATTTAAAAAAATAACAGGGATAGCAACGCAAAAGCATGTAGCCATTAAAAATAACATTTATAGTAAGAAATTATAACAGATTAAAAAAATCCTTTCAAAAATTAATGGACATACAATAAAAACTAAGATTTAGGCCATTACACCTGTCAACACAATTTTTGGAGTCAAGACACAAAATTCATTTCTTACCTAATTTGAAAATGACCTTAGTTTTTTCATGGTTAACTGCCATTTTTGCTCTAATGAAGTTGCTCATTTTGGGGAAAAAAAGATCAATTTACGATCTTGGCTGATCACAAAATTTATTCAATAAAGATCATAGAAACCTATCAATTTTCAGGTAGGCCAAGCAATTTATATCAGCCACCTGATATAAATGTTTTTTATTAGAAAAGAAATGTTTTTGAGTCAAAAATTTTTAAAATAGAGATATTGAAGTTTTTCCAATTTATCGCCAAAATTCAAATTAACTGATAAAGTTTATCAGTAATAAACTTTAGTAAACCTGATAATTAAGGTGACATCAAAAAAAATGAAACCCTAAAATCTTCTGTTTGATATTCATAAATTTATCCCGTCACTTTTATCCCTTCACTACGGAAGGAAACCAAGCACATTGAGAGGATTTTGCTTTCACAGTTGGAAAGAAACTCCAACTAAAGACATCCCAATTGAATGCACCTATTCCATTGTACATGATACTGCTGGAGTATCAAAAGGGATTTAAATAACATTGAACATGACAATCAAGAAAAAGAAAAAGAAAATTTTTACCATAATTCTTATTTTCACGAAGGTTTTATTTCTGCTGTTAATTTATTAAATGTTTTGATGAAAATACTTGTTTGTCTTGGTATATTCAATCATATTATTTTTAAAGACATAGGGTCTGATTGTTATTGCAAAAAATAGTATATCTCAATAAGCAGACCAATATTTGTTGGTTTAAATACAAGGTGATAGATTTCTATGATTTTACTTTGAGAAATATTGCCATTGGTCAATATCATATATACAGAAAACAAATGAAAAAAAAAATGCTTTTTTTCCAAAAATGAGGCATTTCTGTACAGCCGAAACGGTAGCTAACCAAGAAAAAGTAAAGTCATTTTCAGATGCAGCACCGGCAAACTATCTAAAAAAGATGGTTGGTGTTTCAACACCATTTCAAAAATTTTTTTTGTTGATCAAAATATTTTCTGAGATAATACAAGAGTCGATCACAAAGCAATGACTGCCCTTGTTTAATTACAATATATTTAACAACAAAAATAGATGAATGATAGAAAAAACATTATGAAACATTACAGTTTAACATGCCATCAAGGAAAGCTAATGTAGTGTGTGTTTCTGTTTTATAAGTAAATTCTATTGTATGTTTTTTAAGGTTCAGCTTATTTACAAGATCATGTAATATTATTCTACAGGGATATATCAATTTCCAGTATAAACTGTAAAAAATGTCACAAGAAATATATAGGATCGACATTGAGACATCTCATGATTGATACTTACGTGGCTTTTGCTTCAGTGGGTGAAGAATATGAATGTCCATAGGCCGATGGGTAGTATTTTTCATCACTATATGATTAGCACCTGTGTATTTGTTGGCTTTTTCAATACTTCTATGACTCCAATCTGTCCAGTAAATCCAATCTTCAAACACTGTAATGGCAAACACATGAGTAATTTTACCCTGCATTACAATACGTCTCCCACTGCCATCGGCATTGGCAAACCTACAAGAGAAACAAAAAAAGCACAATCTCAGTAACAACAATGCAATCATTCTGTTTACATCTAAATCAAGCATTTTTCATTTTTCATTCGGATTTCTTTCATCTTCATTTAAATGGCTTTATTTCCACTAGTAGTATTAGTAGTAGTAATATTATCTGCAATTTGGATTAGATCAAGCATTGTCAAGTATTCTTCATTTTTCACTAGGATTTCTTTCATCTTCATTTCAATTGCTTTTATTTCCACTAGTAGTATTAGTAGTAGTATTAGTAATATTATCATTGTCAATTTTCATTTTTTAGATTTCAAGCATTGTAGTAGTAATATTCTTCATTTTTTTCAGCATTGGTATTCTTCATTTTTCACTAGATTTCTTTCATCTTCATTTCAATTGCTTTATTTCCACTAGTAGTATTAGTAGTAGTAATATTATCTGCAATTTTCATTAGATCAAGCATTGTCAAGCATTCTTCATTTTTTCACTAGGATTTTCTTTCATCTTCATTTCAATTGCTTTATTTCACTAGTAGTATTAGTAGTAGTAATATTATCTGCAATTTTCATTAGATCAAGCATTGTCAAGCATTCTTCATTTTTCACTAGGTTTCTTTCATCTTCATTTCAATTGCTTTTATTTCCACTAGTAGTATTAGTAGTAGTAATATTATCTGCAATTTTGATTAGATCAAGCATTGTCAAGCATTCTTCATTTTTCACTAGGTTTCTTTCATCTTCATTTCAATTGCTTTATTTCCACTAGTAGTATTAGTAGTAGTAATATTATCTGCAATTTTCATTAGATCAAGCATTCTTGTCAAGCATTCATTTCATTGCTTTTTTTCACTAGTAGTATTAGTTCTTTCATCTTCATTTCATTGTCAAGCATTCTTCATTTTTTAGGATTTCTTTCATCTTCATTTTATTTCCACTAGTAGTATTAGTAGTAGTAATATTATCTGCAATTTTCATTAGATCAAGCATTGTCAAGCATTCTTCATTTTCACTAGGATTTCTTTCATCTTCATTTCAATTGCTTTATTTCCACTAGTAGTATTAGTAGTAGTAATATTATCTGCAATTTTCATTAGATCAAGCATTGTCAAGCATTCTTCATTTTTCACTAGGATTTCTTTCATCTTCATTTCAATTGCTTTATTTCCACTAGTAGTATTAGTAGTAGTAATATTATCTGCAATTTTCATTAGATCAAGCATTGTCAAGCATTCTTCATTTTCACTAGGATTTCTTTCATCTTCATTTCAATTGCTTTATTTCCACTAGTAGTATTAGTAGTAGTAATATTATCTGCAATTTTCATTAGATCAAGCATTGTCAAGCATTCTTCATTTTTTCACTAATTTCTTTCATCTTCATTTCAATTGTTTTATTTCCACTAGTAGTATTAGTAGTAGTAATATTATCTGCAATTTTCATTAGATCAAGCATTGTCAAGCATTCTTCATTTTTTCACTAGGGATTTTCATCTTCATTTCAATTGCTTTATTTCCACTAGTAGTATTAGTAGTGCAATTTTGATTAGATCAAGCATTGTCAATATTCTTCATTTTTCTAGGATTTCTTTCATCTTCATTTTCAATTGCTTTATTTCCACTAGTAGTATTAGTAGTAGTAATATTATCTGCAATTTTCATTAGATCAAGCATTGTCAAGTATTCTTCATTTTTCATTAGGATTTCTTTCATCTTCATTTCAATTGCTTTATTTCCACTAGTAGTATTAGTAGTAGTAATATTTCTTTCATCTTCAATTTTCATTAGATCAAGTAATATTATTGTCAAGCATTCTTCTTCATTTTTCACTAGGATTTCTTTCATCTTCATTTCAATTGCTTTATTTCCACTAGTAGTATTAGTAGTAGTAATATTATCTGCAATTTGATTAGATCAAGCATTGTCAAGTATTCTTCATTTTTCACTAGGATTTCTTTCATCTTCATTTCAATTGCTTTATTTTCACTAGTAGTATTATTAGTAATATTATCTGCAATTTGGATTAGTAATATTATCTTCAATTGCTTTATTTTCATTAGTATTCAAGTAATATTATGTCAATTTTCATTTCTTATTCTTCATTTTTCACTAAGATTTCTTTCATCTTCATTTCAATTGCTTTATTTCCACTAGTAGTATTAGTAGTAGTAATATTATCTGCAATTTTGATTAGATCAAGCATTGTCAAGTATTCTTCATTTTCACTAGGATTTCTTTCATCTTCATTTCAATTGCTTTATTTCCACTAGTAGTATTAGTAGTAGTAATATTATCTCAATTTGGATTAGATCAAGCATTGTCAATTCTTCATTTTTTCACTAGGATTTCTTTCATCTTCATTTCAATTGCTTTATTTCCACTAGTAGTATTAGTAGTAGTAATATTATCTGCAATTTGGATTAGATCAAGCATTGTCAAGTATTCTTCATTTTTCACTAGGATTTCTTTCATCTTCATTTCAATTGCTTTATTTCCACTAGTAGTATTAGTAGTAGTAATATTATCTGCAATTTGGATTAGATCAAGCATTGTCAAGTATTCTTCATTTTTCACTAGGATTTCTTTTTCATCTTCATTTCAATTGCTTTATTTTCCACTAGTATATTAGTAGTAGTAGTATTATCTGCAATTTTCATTTCATTCCATTTTTCATTTTTCACTAGGATTCATTTCATTCAATTGCTTTATTTCCACTAGTTATTAGTAGTAGTAATAATTCTTCAATTTTCATTAGATCAAGCATTGTCAAGCATTCTTCATTTTCTAGGATTTCATCTTCATTTCAATTGCTTTATTTCCACTAGTAGAATTAGTAGTAGTAATATTATCTGCAATTTTGATTAGATCAAGCATTGTCAAGAATTCTTCATTTTTCACTAGGATTTCTTTCATCTTCATTTCAATTGCTTTATTTCCACTAGTAGTATTAGTAGTAGTAATATTATCTGCAATTTTCATTAGATCAAGCATTGTCAAGCATTCTTCATTTTTCACTAGGATTTCTTTCATCTTCATTTCAATTGCTTTATTTCCACTAGTAGTATTAGTAGTAGTAATATTATCTGCAATTTTGATTAGATCAAGCATTGTCAATTATTCTTCATTTTTCATTAGGATTTCTTTTCATCTTCATTTCAATTGCTTTATTTCCACTAGTAGTATTAGTAGTAGTAATATTATCTGCAATTTTCATTAGATCAAGCATTGTCAAGCATTCTTCATTTTCACTAGGATTTCTTTTCATCTTCATTTCAATTGCTTTATTTCCACTAGTAGTATTAGTAGTAGTAATATTATCTGCAATTTGGATTAGATCAAGCATTGTTATTCTTCATTTTTTTTCACTAGGATTTCTTTTCATCTTCATTTCAATTGCTTTATTTCCACTAGTAGTATTAGTAGTAGTAATATTTCTGCAATTTTCATTAGATCAACATTGTCAAGCATTCTTCATTTTTCACTAGGATTTCTTTTCATCTTCATTTCAATTGCTTTATTTCCACTAGTAGTATTAGTAGTAGTAATATTATCTGCAATTTTGATTAGATCAAGCATTGTCAAGTATTCTTCATTTTCACTAGGATTTCTTTCATCTTCATTTCAATTGCTTTATTTCCACTAGTAGTATTAGTAGTAGTAATATTATCTGCAATTTTGGATTAGATCAAGCATTGTCAAGCATTCCTCATTTTTCACTAGGATTTCTTTCATCTTCATTTCAATTGCTTTATTTCCACTAGTAGTATTAGTAGTAGTAATATTATCTGCAATTTTGATTAGATCAAGCATTGTCAAGCATTCTTCATTTTTCACTAGGATTTCTTTCATCTTCATTTCAATTGCTTTTATTTCCACTAGTAGTATTAGTAGTAGTAATATTATCTGCAATTTTGATTAGATCAAGCATTGTCAAACATTCTTCATTTTTTCACTAGGATTTCTTTCATCTTCATTTCAATTGCTTTATTTCCACTAGTAGTATTAGTAGTAGTAATATTATCTGCAATTTTGATTAGATCAAGCATTGTCAAGTATTCTTCATTTTTCACTAGGATTTCTTTCATCTTCATTTCAATTGCTTTATTTCCACTAGTAGTATTAGTAGTAGTAATATTATCTGCAATTTTCATTAGATCAAGCATTGTCAAGCATTCTTCATTTTCACTAGGATTTCTTTCATCTTCATTTCAATTGCTTTATTTCCACTAGTAGTATTAGTAGTAATATTATCTGCAATTTTCATTAGATCAAGCATTGTCAAGCATTCTTCATTTTTCACTAGGATTTCTTTCATCTTCATTTCAATTGCTTTATTTCCACTAGTAGTATTAGTAGTATTATTATCTGCAATTTTCATTAGATCAAGCATTGTCAAGCATTCTTCATTTTTTCACTAGGATTTCTTTCATCTTCATTTCAATTGCTTTATTTCCACTAGTAGTATTAGTAGTAGTAATATTATCTGCAATTTTGATTAGATCAACATTGTCAAGTATTCTTCATTTTCACTAGGATTTCTTTCATCTTCATTTCAATTGCTTTATTTCCACTAGTAGTATTAGTAGTAGTAATATTATCTGCAATTTTCATTAGATCAAGCATTGTCAAGCATTCTTCATTTTTCACTAGGATTTCTTTCATCTTCATTTCAATTGCTTTATTTCCACTAGTAGTATTAGTAGTAGTAATATTATCTGCAATTTTGATTAGATCAAGCATTGTCAAATTCTTCATTTTTCACTAGGATTTCTTTCATCTTCATTTCAATTCTTTATTTCCACTAGTAGTATTAGTAGTAGTAATA